CGCTGGTAAGCTTTGTGATGCAATGTCTGAAAAGTGGAGGGCATTCGTGAAGATTGTGTTATCAACTTAAGTAAAACCGATTAATTTTTCTTGAACTTGGCTCAATGTATCATTTGTTTTGTAAATTTTCATTTTTCTGACTGCACAAATGTAGCACACAAATGTTTAGATTATGCAAACCTAAGTTAGAGATAGTTTTTCAAAAAGGTCAATAAAAGCAAAATTTTGTTAAATAAATGACTTTATAAGTGTAAATTGCATTTAATTTGGAACAGGAATCCGTTCTAATTTTGAATCTCTCCTATTATTTAAGTAAAAAATGTTTCGCTCGAAATCAGTTCAATCTGGCTGACAACCTCAAATGATTCTCAGGCCTGAGGTTATGCTGAGGTTGCGAATCACTATAATTTTAGATGTGTCACCAAATCGCTACCAGATAAAGAATACATGGGCTATAGTCAATATGATTAAATGTTTACAATTTCTTTTGAATTATTCGAAGCCTGTTTGAATCAATTTGAACAAAAATTAGATTCTACTAATTCCACGATTAGCAAACTAAATACACTTATCGAAAGTTTTTTTTGTCTGAAAAAGACTGAAAAGATCAATCCAGCTTATTTCCTTTCCTTCCATTGCATTTGACTGTCATCCTCAGGTTGTTCTCCGGCCGGAAGACAGCCTGAGGATGACAGTCATGGAAAACAAGGGACAATTTTTTTGGGTTTAACACAATACTCTATTGCAATTGAATATTTTTTATGTTTAAATAACATTGAAAAATGATGATACACTTGTTTGGACTAATTTAATTGAGTTAGGTTTAATTTTGTATTAAAATTTTCATTTAAAATTCATCTTCTTCATACTAATATACATATTGCTAAATAATTATAAATCAGCAAAAAAACATTCAGCAACGAACGTAGTGCGAGGCTCTTTAGATTCAGCAAACTATACAATGTATGTATTGGAGCGTCATGGTGACATTTTGGCACGACCGTACCTTGACCGTAGCTGTGATAAGTTCAACTTACTAACTTTCTTTTGCTGCCAATTGATATTAGATTATCTTGTCGATGAGATTACTCAGTCAGCTTTAATTCGCCTAAGCCACTGAGTTAATCTCAGCAACAGAAACGAAACAAGATTAATTATTCAATTTAATTCAATTCAAGCTAAATTTAACAATGATTGAACAGGTTAGCACACTATACCGAACTATTTTTCTAACTGCAGCCCATCAGCAACATATACTGATCTATTAAAATCCAATTAATAATTTCTTGATAATGCCTAATCGATTAGCAAACTGCAAAAATAAGTAAAAAATCATGAAATTTTCAAATAAACATTGATTAACATATTATTCAAAATTTTGTACATATCATTCATTCAAAAAATAACGATTTACAAGAAAAATCATGAAATTTAGCAATGATTGAACTCTCAGCAACAGGATTAATAATACAATTGAGTGTAAGGTTCTGTCGAATCAGCATACTATACCAATGAATAAATTGTAAGTGTCATGGTGTCATTTTGGCACGACCGTAGCCGTGATAAGCAGCACACCTATGGCAGACTATGCCAAAAAGGCATTTTTTCGGGTTGAGGCAACATTTTGGCACGACCGTATCTTAACCGTATGATTTAGTACATTACTTTACGAAAATACTTGATATTCAATAAATATTTATTGGATATTTAAAAGGATTATATTTCATTTTTTTACAATTCTTGTAGATTACAAGTTTACAAATTACAATTGAGCATTGAGTATAAACTCATAAACCTATTAAAATTGGTTTTTTTTTGCTAATGCAAATATGCCAGCAATTGCTGGTTCAACCAATTTGCGTTGTCCGCAAGCTGGTGTTTCCCTTTCTTGGGAACCAGGTTTCTGTCGGCCATTTATGTGCCGCATCACTGATGATTTATAGCCTCCTGTGGCAACATATGCACAGTAAGGGCACTTAAAAACTTTGGTACCTCTCTTTCCACAACTCATGGCAGAGTTCTTACGATGGATATCTGCTGAAACGTATTCCTCGTTGCGTGGCTGATGTTTGTATTCTTTATTCAATTCTAGAAATTTTGGATGTTCATAATAAATGTCGTATTTCAGAGCTCCATAGAATTTCCTATTCTTTTTAACCATATGATCAACTTTTACGGGAAAAAAGCACTTGCCTGATTGTTACATATCTGGATTTTTTCCTTTAATGAAAATTGAATGGCAAAGGATTAGTAATTAGGTAAAATTTGAATGCACAATTGCGTTACTTACCAATTGAGAAGTTGATGCTATCTGGGAGCCTGCTGTTTGGTCTGATGTGGACTGAGAGTTCGAAGTTCCTGATGTGTCCTGCAAGAAAAATAAGATATTTATGAAATTTAGAAAGAAAATTCAGAACTTAAGATAACTTACCGATAGAGTCGAAGAGCTTGATGTGGTTGCTTTTTCCTCTTTGCTGTTGACTGAGTATCAGGTGGTGATGTCTTTTTCCGCTGAAACAAAAATAAAACAAATAAGGGATTTAGCAACAGAACATCAGATCATCAAAACTTCAGAATAACTTACCGGATCGACAAAAGTTGTAAGAGGATTCGCCATGGTTAAATCAACACTGATTAAAATGATAATTTGATGATTGCAAAAATAAAAATGATGAAATTGATGATTAAAATGTCAAATAAATGTTTAATATAACTACTAGTTAAATGTTTAATATAATTACTATAACTGGTATACCATATTTACTTAAAAAAGTGCCAAAACCGTAACCTGTTTGATATGGATTACCTCTAAAGATTTTTAGATCAGACAATCCACTCCCTGCTTGATTTATATAATAACGGCTCAAATCACAATCATTTGGACAAAATTTACGTTTTAAATCCATTTTTTTATTTTTAATAATTTAGTATTTGAAAATACTATTTTACTTTATATAAGTTCTGTACATATTATTATCTTACAGTAAATGTAGTTTGAGGTATGTTCTTCCGTTTTTGAAAATCACAGGATTACCCGTTTCATCAGTGAGAATGATAGAAATCGAATCGATTCTGTTGTATTTTACTTTAAAATAATAAGTATTAGGAAATAAATGAGATGATATTGTAGAATCCACACCACTGTTCAAAGGTATAGTTCTTAGTGAATTAGCCATTGTTTCACCAACATTATGTTCATCCATAACATCACAATATATGAAAAGTAAGTTGCTAGTTGAATTCATATCAGGTTTATATTTCGCAGATATACTAGGATTTTTACTTCGTAGAACTGCTTCATACTCAATATGTACAAATCCAAGCATATTCAAAAAATTCGGATCATCAAATAAGGGTGCGAAATATGAATATTCGGTCTGTTCATTATCATTATACCAAATTTTTCCCATATTCAAAGACACTTTATCCTCAATAATAATAAAACTAGGTGGTTTGAATCCGCTCTTCTTCCTGCTGTTATTCCTATATCTTCTAATGTAGTTTGATTGAAAACATCATTTATATTGTTTAAAAGAGTTTCAATTTTCATTCCAATCCTGTAATCAAGAGTCGTTTTAGTATTATTGAGCTTCAACAAACCATCTACGTACATAACATATGAAACACTTTTTTTCTTAGGATGAATTTTTTTGAATGAAAAAGTTCAATGAGTCCGATTTCCCATTCACCTTCCAATTCAATTGGAATAGATAATTTATTTGGGAAAGATGACAATTTATTCAATGGATATAATTCCATTGAAGCATTAGACACTAAATCAATTTATATATCTCTATTTATCATCTCGGTCATATGATGAGGCAGGGGCGTTTTCTTGATTTTTATTTTTAGCCTTCTTAAGTTCTTTATATACTTTTATAACAAAAGAAACTAATAAATCTCTTTTATCAAACTCTAAGACTTCATTGAAAGCATTTCTTATATCGAATGAAATTTTTTTACTGTATCTTCTCGTACTTTGATATAATGTAAGCTGTCATATTGTATGAAATATTTTTTTCTAGGCAAGACTGCTAATGGTCCATTAGCAATAGATGAATTTAATAAGAAAGCGTTCACTGTTTTGTTTTGTAACAATTTAGTAGAAAGCACACTTTTCGATGACAGAGTATTTTGTAACCAAAAATTTAATGTAGGGATATCAAATCCTAATTTTTCCATCATGGGATTATCATCATCGAAAATAGGTCGAGCGAACGAGCAGGTCTTACTTCTCCTGGAGTCCAATTCAGTTAGAAATTAGTAAATCCATTTTCTTCACTGAAAACTGGTAAATAGTGTGTTCCAAAATATGGTAGCAATTTAACGATTAATGCTGCATTCATGTTTTGAGCGTAGTAACAGGCTCTTCATCCAACTGAAAATTTACTCGATGTAATTTTTCAGAATCACTATATTGCAATTTGATATAACTTTCTCTTTTTTTGTAAATTGTTGGGTAAGATACAGATGAAACCGCAACTTTCCATTCACCTTAAAAATTAAGTATGTTTGATATATATTCACAAAATTTATCGTTCCAATCAGTCACACATATATCTGTGTAGTCATCCGATTTCAATATATTTATCATATTTAGATGGAAATCCAATAAAATGTATTTTTAATCTTTTATTACCTTTTTTGTCGATATACTCAGTTACCCTGGCTTTATATAGATCAGGTTTAGGTACTGGATGAAGCTCTTCAGGATAAAAAAGATGTTATAGGTTCATCATCCAAGTCAACTAACCTATACATATATTTATGAGGTGTTTTTTTCTCGAATAGATTTTGAAAAATTCTTCAGTAAAATTTTCAGTTGCACCTTTTTCAGTTGCACTCTTTGAAAATTACTAAATACTTTAAATCTTGTAGAACATTTATCACACTTATATGTCACGTTACATTTATGTACTTTATCAATGATATCAATCCCACAATATTTGCAGAGAGTCATTTTTGAAATGAAAATTTGTTTCAATTTTATTCTATTTATATTACATTGTATTAACACGGTCGTTGAACCTATCCACGCCTACATCCATAATCAAGGACCCTTCTTTGAACCACCACCGTGTAATAGGTGTTGGTGTCATTTCATAATTTAGACATGTCATAGTTTGTGAGGTCTTCTGCATGTAAACTCCTTGTGCTAAGTATTTAATATACTCCGGATAAAAAATCATTTTTTGACCATCAATCTCAAAGTTGAGATTTCCTGAATCTTCCTTTGTAATTTGGATAGATTTTTTGCTTGGTAATATTGTAAAGAATTTTGATTCATCTCTCAAATATTCAATAAAGAAATCTCTTATTGCTAAAAAATCTACAGTGTTGAAATACATCCTACCACTATATCTAGAGTTGTTCTTAGCAGATAATGTAAGCATTATTTTTGCAAACCAGCGATTTGAATTCTGTGATGTAGATGCTTCAATTGAAAGATGATACGTATCTGTGTTCGTCAAATAAAATGTTGAAATAGGAAATGTATACGTTTCACTGTCATCATCATTGATAATATCTTGATTATCTTTCCAAGAAAGGATATTATTTTCATGAATACCCTCAAAAGGAAAGTTACATTTACGTAGAACCTTAGCAAATTTATCTTTGAAAGAGCTTTCACGAATAATCGATAGTAAGTCACTAGGCCATGAGAAGTGTGCGTTACGATACCTGATGTCCAGAGTTCCACTCAATTAAGACTTTTTTTGATTAACTCGATTAATACTTTTCACAATTTTTGAATAAGATATAAATTGGATAGAAAGTATGTGCTATATATAGATTTTGAAATAATTTGTTGGGATTTAATGTTTAATATTTTCAAATTTAGCGCTTAATTTCTCAGTAGTAACCAATTTATTCTTTAAAGTAACCAATTCAATAACCGAGTTCGTGCTTGAGCCAGAAATTGGTTTTTTATACTACTAACTTGTTTAATTGTGAGTTTACCGTTAGCCTTAACTTTCAAAATCGGTTTTCGTCAAAGATTGAAGCATTAATACATTAATCTTTGGTTTTCGTTAGCGTGTTTTCCCCTTTCCCCCCTAAATTAGGCTCCACCTTTTAGTGGCAATAGATACCCTTTACTACTCTCAGATACTCAATGCTATATTTCAAGGTAAGGGTAAACGAGAACCCGTCAGCTCACTCTTTGCTCTTCCAGCTCTTCTTGTTATTGGCTTGACAGCTAACAAGGTAACCTTTTGAACTGCCCCCCGCAGAATTTTCTCAACTTTTAGTATGTTGTAGAGGGCCAAAATTGACGCTAAATACAATATCTACAAGAAAAAAAAATTAATCATCAAAAATCAAAAAAAGAAAAAAGATCATTTTGTAGATGTTCTAAGGTTATTTGAAAATTAAGGGAAGGTTGATTTTTCGATAGTTACATTGATTTGTACAAAAAATCCATCAAATGATCATGTTTATTTTCACCATTTGAAGATGCCGGCTCATGTTCTTTTAGGGACCTCCATTTCCTCTCGATCATTTGAGTATTAACATTGAGTTTTTTCCCGGGTTTCAAAAAATTCGTAGAATGATTAACAAAATCATGAAAATAGCCATGGTGTTGCAAATTTTTATAACTTGCCCATCCATCGGAATAAATTGTTGTTCCCATCAAAACATGTTTTTGCAAAACCGATAGCAATGTAGCTTCATCTCTTTTCGATCGATTCCACCAAAAATCCAAACTTGATTTTTTTCATCTGCTGTTAGTCGTCCAACATGGCTTTTCCTTTTGTAAACCATTGTTTCGTCGATTTCAACGATCTCACCATAGCCTCCAATTTTAGTATTATTCCTATTTAAAATATTATAACACATCTAAAAAATAAAAAAAATCATTAATCTTTAGAAATACTTGGAAATACTTACCGATCATAGCATTTTGAATTGCCGTAGCAAAGTTGATTTAGATAATCCGAGGTCTTGAGTAGTCATAGTTAAACTTTTATTTTGGCCCCAGCAGAAGATGATTTGTAACACTGTTAAAATCGGTAATTTCGTATCATCAAAAATAGTACCTCTAGTCCAGTTAATTTGCTTTCGACATTTTCTATCGTTGCAGACGAAAGCCTTACCTAAAACTGAATCTTTGACACTTCGAAGTATCATTTCACCTCCACAACCTTCATGATAACAAGGTTTAGAATCACCTTCAGGAATCAACTTGAGATCGAGACTAAATTCTAACCCTGGTATGGCTTCACTAGGAGAAGCAAAATTAGTTAAATTTAAATTACGGAAATAGTTCATTTTGAAATATTTTTACATGAATATTCGGACAAGGCCACAATAGAAATGAATATTCTGGGTTTTTGCATTCTATTTATATTTGATTTTCCTCGACATATGCTGGAAATCTGGTGTGCGATTATTTATTGTCAATTAACTTAACTAAATCTTAAAGAAAATTGGAAATACCGCCAGTTAATCCTATTGGACATTTGTTTAGACTTAGCTGTCAAGCCGATAACAAGAAGAGCTGGAAGAGCAAAGAGTGAGCTGACGGGTTCTCGTTTACCCTTACCTATTTCAATATCAAGATTATTACAGAACTTCTTTAGAAATCGCTCCTGATTGTGTTAAAGGTCAATCTGAGGTCTAACACAATTTTATCAACAAAATATTGCAAAATAGGTCATTCGCTCCGTTATTTGTTCTTCTTGAGACATCCATAAAATTGAAATCAGTTTTAATTGTTCAAAAAATATCTTTTGTCTAAATTCGTAATGGTTTTTTGAGATGAGATTCCTCCATGGATGATGCTCCATTTGCCGCACCGATATCTTATCGCGGTTCACTATCCTCAGTATCATCATCATCATCATCATCATCATCATTACCTTCGATATCATCGATTTCATCCTTACTCAGACTGTCGAACTCACACGAGGACCGGATAACATCATTGGAAAGAAGCCACTAGGACCTAGTTAAAAATATTGAAGTCAATTTCCTAAATATTCTTTCAAATGTTTAAGATTTATATGAGATTTTTAATACTCTTCAGGGAATCACCAGATGACAAAGGGCTCGACATTTGCCAACTGTTGAGTTCATAGCGACTTCAAAATCCTATTGTTAATCCATTGGTTGCTCTTCATCGGCTTGATTAAATCTTGTATATTCGGATCCTTTCTTCAACTAAAAATGGCTCTCTAAATGATCCAGAAAAAAGTGTGGCTATTACTTGTCCTAGTTGATCGATCAAGATTTTACTGATACTTATTTGTCAGATTTCATGTACAAGGTCATTTTTCCCGAATCACCGAAAACATTAGGATCATTTGAAAGTCTATTCTTAAAAACTACAAATTTTTTTGCGATGAACTTTTGTTTAAATTTGATTACTTAATCTGTTTCCAACTAAAATCCCCAATAATTGTGTTCAGTAATGGATTCAACACACTTATTGCAGTCAGTGTATCATTTAGAATGAAAAGATTGAAATAAAAACGCAAAATGAAACACAAATATTTAATATGCATTAGAAAAATTTTTAATGAAAAACACTCTAAGTGATTGTCAAGGAAATAATAAATTAGAAGGTAATATCATCACAGTTAACCATTTCGACTTGTTTAGTCCATCTTGAAGAGCCATTACGCATTGAAGATTTAACTTTGATCACTAAGCATGGAATAGAGAATCCAACGAATAAACCAACGATTGTTAATAAAAATGCGTAGCCAAAACTCTCATTAAAATTTACACCTGCAGCTTTAAATTCAAGACTTTCGGGATGTTTTGAATCTTCCTCATGCAAATGTTGCACTTTAATTTCATAGTTATGACAAATATCTGATTTGTTGGTCAGAGTTTGCTGATTTTTAACCGAGTATGCAGTTAATTCGCAAGCACTTTTTTTGATTCCTTTAGGGCAGAAATTGAAAGATTTACACGCTTGACCCCCAGTCGATTCCCAATCATCACAAAGAGCTGCACATTGATCAATATCTAATTCCAGTTCCGTATTCAAAACTTCATAAACGACCATTGATCCAGTTAATTCGTATTTTCTGGATGCTTTGGCTGAAAAAACAGAAAAAATTGTATTGAATTAAAATTAATAAGTGAATATAATTTTTGCAAGATGACTTACGAGTATAAATATCTGAATCGGAAGCGTACTGGGTGGTTTCTTCTGAAAAATAGCCACCAAATGAACATTGGCCATGAGAGTATTCGAATGAGAGACAATCTTCTGAATTAAAACAGTTGGTGGCACATCTTTCTAGATCAAAGTCAAACGAAGTTGTTGTCTTTTTCTTGAATTTCCTATTACGTTTGATTGAATAATCAGATAAATGACTTTTTGCAAAGGTTTTGCAATTTTCATCTGTTGTTAAATAGCTGGCTATTTGTGAATCTGTCATGTTGGTTACAGTACATTGTTTTTCATTTCCATTTTGACAGAATGTAAATATTTCACACGGAATAACCTCGGATCCAGCACAAGAACGATAACAATCACTGAAACTAGCAACTTCAGGAATCGAAACAGCATACAGGCCATCCATTTCAGTCAACTTTTTAGAAGATTGAATTTCATTGAATAACCTTTTGCTTTGTTCGTCTTTGGCTTCATTTGTTTCAATGATATCGACAATTTTATAAGATAAATTTCCTCGGTGTAAAAAAAGATAAGGTTCATTTAACATTAAACTAGACAATTGGTTTTTTAATGAAGAAAAAACACTTACTAGAAGCAGATTTTCGTCGAATGCTGAAACTCCTATGGCTAAGGCTACTGATGACAGAGTCGTGTAAATTTTTGAGAGAAACATCACTTCCAAATCGATAGAGATTTTTCATTGGGAATTCATAGACTCTACAAAGAATACCATCTGAGTCTGTTTTTACTTCTTCCGTCCTTATACATACTTTACTACTTTCACAATATACCAAAATCCTGATAAAATAATGAAAGTAATACAATGTAGAGTAAAAATACACGAATTCAATAATTTTAATAAACATACCGTGGACTTTGATAGCTACTTGAATGATATTTGAGACACTCCTCACCATTTTCAGCTGTATCTGTTGTTGTCGAGCTTTTGATAGATTTCATGTCTATTTTACGAAGTGTATATTTAAAAGAATCTGAAATGAAAAAGAAGAAATTGAACGATATCAGAAAAATTGTTATAAAAGGTTGAGTATTTACCTTTTAAGGATGGGACGTCTAAAAAGGTTACATCTGCTTTGATTGAGTCTTTAGTGAAAACAAATACAATATCAGCAATTCTTAAAAATGAAATCTGGTAAGTTTTAACAATTTTGTCGGCCAAATATTGTCTCAATTCATAAACCATGTCTTCTGAAGCCTTGACGCAACTCTCGATGTCCAAATTGGCCTCTAAATGGAAAACAAAACTAAACGGTTGCAATTACAGTAAATTGTGTGATATAATGCGATTTACCTTCACATGTCAATACAAATGTTAAAGTTAATCTTTGATCTGCATTAGGAAAACAGTCACTAATTTGAAATGCTTCATGATAGGCAGATTCGTCCAGGTCGGTGCCAAAATCGTAAAAATTTCTTCGAATTGAATCAACCAAGATAAATTTTCCCTGATTAAAAATAAGATTCAAGTTATTTGTATAACTACATGTATTAATATAACTCACGGAAGGGTCTTTCTTGTATGCATTGCGAGTGGCACCAACGGTATTGTAGCCAACAGATTCATTATCGATAATCTAGGATGAAAGATTAGCAAAATAATTTATATTGATTAAAAAATTGGATTATTATAATACTTACAACTTTAGCAAGATATTGAGTTGTCACAACTTTATCATATTTACCACTGGGTAATGCTTTATTGTAATCCACTGATTCCCACACTGAAGTTTTGAAGTTTGATCGATGTTCCTGTTGGTTGAGATATATTTGATTTATTTGAGATTAAATTTAGCTGATAATTGAAAAATTTCTGATTAGTGCTTACATAATAAACATCTCCAAGATATTCGTATGAGCCTTTTAACCAAAGCAGTTCTGAAACTGAAAATTTTCCATCTGCACCAATTCCAGGGTCTGTTAACTCTATTGGGCGAATTGAGCATGAACTTGATTTGTTAAACGGCTCCGAATGATAACTGACTCCAAGATTATAATCATAAACATAATTATGTGTTGATCCATTGGCTATTTCTGATGATCGTAACGTTTCGATAGTTTCATCAACATGAATCTGAATACAATAGTTATGAGAAAAAAATTAGATTTAACAACTAGTTGAACTGGTAAAAACTAAAAATATTGACGTCAAATCAAAAATTACCAGCATTTAACAATAGAAATGACTAGTTTAGGTTGCCCATCTCAAACAATATTTTCTAAGCCTTGTTGGACTCAATGTGATTTGACTGTCACTTTGAACAATTACCTCCTTCAAGAACCTTTTTGATTCATTGATAGTTTCCTCAAAAATAAGGTGGAAACTGGAATCACTCGGTAACGGAAATTCTATGCCTTTTTTATTCATGTAATTCGGACATCCTATTCCTGGTGTAGGCTGCACATTAAAATTGAGTTTAGAGTCATTCAATCAAATTTACACAAGTTTCTGAAATACCGACTTGAATTAATTCACCTAATTGACGAGTTGTTTGCGAGATAAAGTAAAGATCCAAAATAAACGACTCAATTTCCTTTTTATCGTTTGGTATAGCCAATAAGATTCTGCTTGGTTGTTTAACACCAGAGCTTGGATCCAGTTGAGCTACAAAAAAACAAGTAAGAGTCATTTATTATCAATAATTATCAATTAGTGTTCAAGTTTAATTCTTACTTACTTTTGTAATAGAAAGTTATTTCATTAACTCGAGCTAAGTCGGCTGTTGCACTGTGCATTTTGATTCCTCTAATAACTGCATCTTGGCCAGCCAACTTGAATAAAAATCAAAAGGAATAGAGGAAAGGTATTTTACAAATTAACTACATTGGACTACATTTGTAAAAAATATTTTGATAAATAGCAATGAATTTTTACCCAGTGTAGACCAGAAAGTCGGTAGAATACAGAAGGTCCAATGAGAAGTATTTGATTGATGAATTTAGAGGTTACTCCAGGCAGATATGTTTTCCAATCGGATCCGTGAATATATTCATAACATTGGTTGTCTAAATAATGTAAATTCAAATTGAAAAAATTAATTCTTAAGAAGTTTAATCCATTTGGTGGTGAAAAAACATCCCGAAGTCATCGAAAAGGCTGAACTTATTAATTTGAAAACACATGAAATACAATAGATGCCGAAATAAATCAAAAAAATCAACCCAGGATCGATATAGAAAGAGAAACAAGACAATAAAGTTGCATAAACACACGATGAAAGCTTTCTCAAAAAATAAACAATAAGACGTAAAACCGCTCAATGTAAAGGGGTGTTATTCTGATTAAATATGGAGTCACAATGAAGAAATGGATCAACATTTAATTTTTCATATTTTTTGCTGCCATAATTGAATTTTAAATTCAATCGTCTCTAAATAATATTTAACCAACAAAATAAGATAAAAGGATAAACTTACCATACATCACTAGACGCTTGTTGTTATCATATGTACCAAATGAATAAAAGACACTCATTTGACCATCTGATGATGTTATATCAATTTTACCCTTGAGTGTGTCATTAGATGATATTTTTTCTTCCATGTTCCAGACCTTTCCGGTTTCCTGGTCAACAGGCAACGATCAACATGATTAGTGATGTATTAATAAGTAACAGTTAAACAAACATGATCTTACCGGATCTCTTAGCTTTGCATAAATTAAAAGGTTGGTGTCTTTGTCGATTTCGGGTTTTAGGTCCACAAGAGAAACTTTAAATATAAACACCCAAATTTGATTATTTCAGAAACTTGAATTTTCTTAGAATGGAATCGGAATTGAATTCAAGGATAAATTGTTATCAAATATAAAAACTTACATGTGCTGATGAATGAAAAATTAAGTAGCAATAAGATAGTAGAGAGTAACATTTTAAGATAACTTTATATGGACTGGGTTAAGATCAATCTTGAAGCTTCCAAAATAGGCAACTGTATTCTGAATCTATTGTGGTCTATTATTGCGGTTCATCAATAACATTATCGGGTGTTAACTAATTTATACACCTTAATCATTATCCAATTTGACAATCTTATTATTAGTCAATAGCTTATTGTTTATTTGTCAACTTATTAATGTAGCAAAAATATGATAATGATAAAATAAGTCATTTAATGGAATCGATATCATGTAAATGGTTGATTAGTCTTGAAATAATCATGATATGATGTACAATCTGATCAGTAACCTAAGGTTGGCAGGCTAGCAGATTTATTGTACAGGCAATGAAATTGAAAGACTGGAAAAGAGGTCAAAATTTAAAGCTACATGAACTTGACACCAATCAAATTGGTTCCTCATCTAATGACCTTAACCTTGACCTGATAGATTAATATTTTTGGCCTTTCACTGATCAGTCAGCTTGAATGTTGGGAAATGGCCATTACAAGTTACATCGTATTTACAATTGACTAAAACATTGGTTCAATTTCCTTATGGTCAGTTAATGTTTCCTTGATGAGACAAACGCTTCGGGATACATTTTGAGAAGCATCACAACAATTAACTGAATTGCTTGTTATACCAATTATACACTGAGATAGTAACATGAAGATAAATGATTAAACCAAAAATTTCTTCCCTCCCTTGAACACTTGATCAACAAGTTAGTGGTGAAACAAATGACGATTCAATTGTAGTCCAAATGACATGTTAAAATACAAACAATTTGTATTGAAAATAAAAAATTATTACAATAACAATTATCTACCAGAAACAGCATCGGTATTTAAAATCAAATTAATAGAAACAGATTTTATAATCTTTTTAGATTTCTCATGTTGGAAATTTTTTGAAACGGTTTTTCCTCTTTGGTTGATCCTAATCTTGTAATTTTTACTCCTTCAAGCAAACTCAATTATTTCCTACTTTTTAATTAGTAATCGTCTTAACAAGCTTTGGTGAAATCCAGAAAATACAGAGATTATCTAATTAAAAGGTAAACAGTGGCAGTGGAAAACGCTCAACGCCATTTTCAGTTGTATGTAAATTTGCTTCCAATGCTTGAAGTCCAATAGTTGCTGGCTGTAAAATCAATTAAATGTGATTATTTTACAATTTGATTAACTTTCTCTCGTCCTTGATTGTCCCAGTTATAGTTATCAATTTAATACCTTGAAGGTATTTCTTTATTTTTTTGATATCCATTCGCTTGAAGTGCATAATTTAGAAGCAACGTGGGTTTTGGCCAGTGTTAAACCCCAAAGTAAAGATTATTTACATTGTGTGAGACGAATGCTTGTAAAAATGATTACGTGATTTAATTTAGTTCAGTTCTTGGCTTTTATTACGTATTTTGACTGGTTTCTGGTCGTTTCATTACAGCTCTTATCAAGATTGTAAATCTGTTGTAACTGAGTCAATCTATCGGACTGTTGGTCATTGTATGGTTCACTTCAATTTATCATTTCCAGCGACTTGGTTAATAAGTTTGATTCCAGTGGATACTGTTGAAGGACATTGATTGCTGTTTACACTTAAAATGTTAAATCTTGGTTAATACTGGAAGCTGCTGTTATTTGTGAACATTGTCAAACAATAGACTTTGAAAAAAAGCAGGCAAATTTTCAGTTTCCACCAAAAGTAGCCATTGTTTAATTCAGTTCGACTGAAGCCAAATCTAAAATGAATTACTTGAAATGACTGGTTATCCACTTGTTTTCCTTTTGTTCTCATCAGCACTTTGAAGGACTTAGCTGAGGTGTTTAGCTTATTAAAGAGAAATAAACTTTTTCCCTCGTGTCTGTTCTGTTAAACCTTTTAGTCTATTATTATCATTATTGTTGTAACTTTTGGTTGAATACCCGTTCCTTGTATTTATCACCAAAATTAACATCCATCAACTTTTTTTCTGCTACTAATTACGAGATAGTTATGCATGTGTGTTGCACTCAACCAATTAAGATATACTGGATAAGTACTGGATACCATCAAAATTGTACTTGAAAACTGCCAATAGGATTTGAATCTGTCATCTTTGAAGCTTAGGTTGAAACTTGATGGTTATGCTTTGGTTGTTAACATATTCTTGACGTTTCTAATACTCTTATGATGTTAAAAGATGAAATTAAAATTGTTGAACAATTATTTGTAGCTTGTGTTATCTTTTATTTGTCACTGCATTTCTCATTACTGCCGGCAATAGGCTTAGCAACGAGGAAAACATAAGTTGAGGGAAGAAAACCAAGTACAAAGTTATTAGTTGATTGTAATGTTTTTACAAGTCCAGCTTGGTAATGTCAGGAGCTTGACCTTGAATAGATTTGTTCTGATCGAGTATATGTTAATGATCCGTTGGTTAAACGGTGTTGAATTACATTTAAATAATAGCAAATGATGATGACTATATTGAAAAGTGCAAACAGGCATTCATATAAGGGTAGCACCCTTGGTACCGTACAGTTGTTTGTTGAGATTAATGATGGTGAGGATGATGATGATAAGGTTGATGAGATTGTTGTTGAAGTTGTTGGAAACATGATAAGGAAGTAGAGACCGTGGAAAAAGAGAGCAGTAAACTCAACTAGTCTTAGGATAAATATGAATTTGCGCCACCAATGGCGGGGTTTGAGATCAACGTTTGCAGAAAGAAGCGTATTATGACCAAATATAAAGACACCAGCAATCAGGTCACAGAGTGGATAGAAAACTGTTAACGTTCCTGGATAATTTTTAAGGCCCAGATAGACCAATCCAACGTTGGCAAAAGTTCTAAAAATTTCAATTAATTGTATGTAACGACGTTTTTTCATCAAGATGTACATCACAGTCTCTAAACATTCCATTATCTTGGCCCAAAAGAATATATAAACAACATAGACTGAGAAAAGACGCTTGATTTCCTTGGTTGATGTATCAATGGGTTCACAAGACCAACAAATGGTTCCAAAGTTGGTTGTCCATAAAGCTAATAATAGGCCTACACCGTGAACACCAAATTGATATCCATTGTAGATTAATAAGTGAGGATACAAGTTGAAAGGTGGTCTTAGGTTCATCCATTTAGGCCCAAATACTTTGACAAAATAATAATAAACTATGAAAAGGGCTATCAATTTTTTAGATGTCTCTTGACTATCTTTAACATTGAAAAACAGTCTAACATCTAAATCACCCATTAGGTTCTAGGTTGTGAGTTAACAATTCAGCCAACAGGTACACCGAGAAGATCAGAAAAGATGACCAATAACGAAAGACACAATCCGGTTGAGGCAATTTCTGTGGAACGGTCAACGATCAAAATAGTAAACAAAGTCACAGAAGAAATGCTGTATCCAATAACATGAGAGTGTTTTGATGAGACTAAGCGCACATTTTTGGTTTGAATGAGATTATTAGCTTTACATAAATAGAATTGATTGAGCACATAGTAAAAGAGGATATTAAAGGACAAATATAAATAGAGGAAGATAATTAAACAATCTTATTTTAGGGTTAAATCAACATTAGTAACAGAACAACAACAATAAAAACAAGATCTGGTATATACGGTTGTAGATTTAAACCTTTCCTGTTTGATTGGTTTATCCAGTTTTTATGTTGATAGTAATAGATGAAAATAATTTAGTTAACAGTATTTCATTGTTATTACAAGAGGCTAGAAGTAAACAATTAAAAAATAATCCAATTGATCCAACTATCCATACGCCGAGTAAAGTTGGGAAAAAGTTGCTCAAGTTTGATGTTGTCTCAAGCAGCTGCCTGTGTTGAATGACGACTGGTTCAGTTAGAAAAACTGAGTCAGAAAAGAGTGACTTTTTTAGAAACATTACATTAATCTGCAAACCAGTATTTTGTATCTTATTTGAAATGATTATTTTGTCCTAAATTGTTGCGTTTGATGATGTACAGACCAAAAGAGAGCCACTTCTGGTCATCAACTACAATACCTTGAACTAGTTTTTGGTGGTTCTTATATTAGATTTAATGGCTTGTCTTTATTTAGGTACCAAAAAGAAATGAACCCAAAAAGCTGTACACATAAATCAGAATAATTTAACTAAAAATTGCAATTCTTATCTACTGATCATTTAGATAAAGATGGTTGGTTGACCCTGAAAATTCAACGGACTCTAGTCTTTATGATTAATTTTTCTACTTTCTCTGGTCCAAAGAAATCTGGCCGAATCCCAATTTAGTTGCATCTAATTGGGATAATCTTTAACCTGAAATATACATCTACCGGTTATTGACAGTTTTTTCAACTTTTTAGATTCTTGAATCACAGAGATTTAATATTTTTTCACGTTAAAATAATAAAGACAGTGATTAATAGAATGTTTTCCAATATTCTATCATTAATCATATCACCTTCTTGAAACCCTTTATTATATTTATTCAAATTTGGAATTTGGAATTCAGATTTTTATAAAATCAGGATCAAATGTGCGGATGCAACCTAATTTACGAGAAGATCCTTTTGGTGAGCGTTTGGTCCGTGATTTTACTATTTGCAAGTTACCATAATTTGCAAGCTGCCAATTATCACCTTAAGAATTCTTGAGTTAATTTTAATTTAAGATCGTCATCATCGACTAGTTTTAAATAAGTATGCATCAATGGTTGGGGTGCCTTTTCGTTACCAAGAATACGGACAACGCGATCGAATGGAATGATATTGCGAATTTTTTTGGAACCAAGAAAAGTCTAGTTAAATAGAGGAGAATGATAATCATCATTAAAAATTAATCAATTGAGGGACATGAAAAATAATTGAATATACCTGATAATGAAATAAATTATCAATTTCAGTCCAACGCGCAGTTTTAGCTAAAGCTCTCGAAGCTGTCCAGTAATATTGCTTATCTGAGATATTGTGGTTATTCCGGATGGTTTGAGGGCTGCCAAAATGTGTCGCTGGATTATTACTATGATGAACAATCGAGTAGAAGAGGGTTGTTATAACCGAAGAGCCCAAGAAAGATGAACATGGCATTACTTGATAACGTTCAGATGGCTCCATTATTTTGGAGTCGGCAGCATCAACAGGTAACTGATATTCATATAAAGTAATTTGTTCCATTATTGCAGGAGAATAAAGTTCATCTTGAAGATCCTTGAAAAAATTATTATAACAATGTTTAAGATGTTTAATACGAGTCTCCATGTGTTCACATTTAATTGCGTTGGCATAGTTAACAATAGCTGCTTCCTCTGATCTTCCTATCATAGCAAGAAAATCGGTTAAATCTTTAGTGCGATTTGTTTCACGAAGAAAATCAATGTAATGGTCAACAGCAGTTGGACGAATTAAAAGTTCCATAGCAAATATACGCCAACAAAGAGTTTTCTCGAGAAAAATTATCACAGCAATGATAGTATCACCATCGTATGAATTGATTGCAGCTTCAAGGAGAGATAATTTGTCCTCTTTTGATTTAAATATAGAAAAATTGGGATTCTCTCCATTGATCAGTGCCCGGATGCATGCTTCTATTTTATTAGAAGAAGTAGGAGTTGAATAACTTTTGTTTGAAATTTTCTGTAGAGATTGATTAACTCTGAGAGTTGCTTCCTCTGGACTCATCAACTTAACAGTATCTGGAGCTAAATTTAAATTGAAAAATATCATTAATAATCATACTTTGAAATTCGCTTTCTTTAGAGAGATTTTACCTTGTGGTTTGGAGAGTATCTCCGTTGGTTTCACTGAGGTTACAGTGCTGACTTTCTGGTCATACAAAGAATCGATGTCCTAAAATTGAAAAGATATTAGAAAATTTAAAATTTGAAATATAGAAACACAGTATGAAAGTTAAATTATCACATTGGTGATCTAATACACCTTGCTTATTAGCCATGGCGGAAAATAAGACTTAGATGTTAACTGAATATAGAAATTGAAATTAATGCATCCAAATTTAACTTTCAACTTTCTAGTAAAGCTCAGTCCAACTGAAAGAAGATCATACCGCGTCATCTTCAAAATTAAAGGACATCGGCTTTGAATATTCCCAAAAATCATCAGCTTTGCCAGTGTCAGACCTGCATTGGAATAAAATAATTCATGAGTTATAAAATTCAAAATGAAACCAGACAATCATTGTGGGAAATTGATAATTCATCAATATCATAGAGAATATCTTCTAGCTAAGAATTAGTGCGAATCAGGTTAAACAGATTGAATAATAACATGCATTAATCAGGCGGATCTAATGATTCATATTGATCCAAGATGTAATCTATCACAGGAGGGTATATTTTTGATTGGAATACTCACCAAAGTTGATGAGATTTATTGGTAGACATCTCGCCTTAATTATTAGAAATGTAATCACTTATCACAGTAATGGTTGGACATCGGTTGAAGAAACACACAACCAAATAAACCTGTGTCACCTAATTATTTTCAGCTCAATAGATATCATTTTAGGGATGGCATTTGTAGATAAGACTGGAATATTTGAAAAACGTAATTAAAATATTAGCACTTAAAAAATTTAGACTAAAATAATTATTTATTAAATCTTTTTATAAGACAAAAATTTGTTAGCTTTTAGATTCCACTCTAATCATATGGTTTCTGTTTACCATTCCTTTAAAAGTCACATGTTCAATGGAAGTCCAGCTTTTTAAATTTACACCTTAACATGACATGACAGTTAAATTATTTATTTTTGATGAAATTAATTGATCGTTCAAGACCAGAATAATACATAATAATTAAATAGAAAAGATAAAAAAATATAAAAGATTAGAAATGAAATGAATATTGGAATTTTTGGAAGATAATTTGATTGAAGCTAATTAACTAGGAAATATCAGTGATTGTGCTTAAATGAGTAAAAATATGATTAATTAGTCTTTCTTGATGAAAATATACCGACCAGTGTTGATAAATATCCAAACAATTGATTAATAACAAATTCAATTCTTGTAATCAATTTCAAATCAAATCAAAAAAGTGGACAGTTATAAACATTATCGGAAGATTGCGCTTGCATCGTTAAAGCCGCAGATTTTAAAAGCAAAGACAGTTAATTTCTTGTCAATCAAAATAATTTACAGAAATGATAAAAAAGACGTTCACTGCATTATCCATGCATTTACAGTTTCTGCCAATAACAAACAATATTTCAAACCGATTCGAACAGCTTGAATATTAGAAAATGTAGATTACCTTTACGGGATTGCATGATATCAGTACCTTGCTCAATGAGCTTCGTGAATGCTGCTGGTCATCGATCAAAAACTGTAGCTTCTCCAGCGATTTTATTATAATTTGTTTCTCGATACAGATGTGAGAAAGGAGGAAACGAGAGAAACATGAAATCGCCAGAGAAAGAGAGGAGGAAAGAGGATGAGAGGACAAGTCATCTTTAGGTCCAATTGTATATACCAACAGGGCGAACAGAGGATGCTCTATGCTGGATGGAAGTTGTTGTTTAAACTTGCTTCCTCTCTTCTTTCATCTCTTTCTTTCTGGCTCGATTTTTGTGGGTTACTTTTGCTAGTAGTAAGTTATTATTAGAAAGAAGGAAGAAAGACTTTTAGAGAGAGTCGAGAGTAAGAGGAAAGCCAAAATGGCGTGTTGTATGGAAAAATAGGAAAATAATGTGTGATTCACTTCAAGTAAAGATTGGTTGGTATTAATTTTTTGCCGTATCTTTCTGTCTCTGTGATTATATAAACTCTAGTCTTTTTATCTGATTCTTTCTCTTATTCTTTTTTGTATCATGAAATTAGGTTTACATTTTGTGTTACAACTGATCATCTAGTACAATAATGGCAAATTAACCGTTTGACACCGTATTTTTGGATACATCTGTAATTTGAAGCAATTGTTTTTTGTATTGGACTGACATTTCAACAGAAACAATATCAACGGGGTTCTTGTGAATAATCTTTCCAACCATAAGATTGTAAAACCAGAATAATCATCAAATCGGCTTGGTTTTTATCATCTGGTGGAGTTACATGCTCATCACATCAGTTTTTTACCAGGTAAAAGCAACAATTTGAATGGTAAGAAAAAAGACAACAGTTACCTTTTATTATCCATCTTTACTCAACTCCATCAAAACAAAGAGATCGCACGATTATTAAGGTTAGCATAGGGAACTCCATTTTCGTCTCGATATTTGACTTAGCCTTTTAAATAGTAAAAGATGAAGACATTTTCGCTAATTTGTGCAATGGACAAACTATGATTGTTATAATCAATTTTGTATTTGATTGTCATGCGGCTAAATCAGTTTCTAGCTTTAAAGATTCACTCAATTAAGGCTTCCTTCATTTTTTAACACATCAAACCTTTTTCGCTCATTATTAGTCGACTGCTATTGCTTTTATCGACGTCTTTTTACATTCAAGTTGAACCCTGGTTACGCTGTTAATTAGTATGGAAACAAGACTCTTTGTTGATTACATTTTGCTCGTTAAAATGTGTGTGCTACTCAAGTTAAACACACAACAACGCAACTTCTTGAGCGATCCCATTTTTCAAGCTATTTCCAGAAAGTCTCATCTTTCCTTTTCTCGGTTGTTTCTCTCGAAAGAAGAAAAACAATCTTCCTCTGATGATTAACATTTATACGTGAAGGTTTAGATACCGAGGTTAGCCGAGCCATAAATACGACTGACTGGTTGTTCAAGTGAATACAGTAAACCTTGGTTTAGACTGACTATTGATCGGTTTTGGTCGACATAAAATGTCTTCCAACTAGTCAACTATAAAACTCGTTTTTGTGAACAAAATTGAGGAACCAAATTTTATTCCAATAAACTATTCATCTTTCAATTTTCTTATCATAATATCATCATCATCAGGATCGTTTAATTTTGAGCATAAATTATTTTCCAGTTGATTTTGGCGATGTAAAAATATCTCGCCATGTTTATGTTTAAACATATTATTGCATCTCATATTTACTCTCACAATGTTTAGTTTTTAATAAACCCAAATCAACCCAAACCGAGTTGCAAGGTTATTGAAGATGCTGATTATTTCGGTCTTTCATTACAATTTACTTAGCCCAATTAGATTACAATGATTTACTAATGATTGTCAATATAAAGCTGTTTAAATCAACCGTTCCTGTTACCGATCCATGGGAGTCAATTTTAACATAACAACTGAATCATACCTCTGATTGTTTCAAGCGTACATTAACAAAAATATACAAAATTAAATAAAAAATCCTAGTTTCATTGATTGTAAGGAGCAATCGCTGCTAAAGCCGTATACGTGACTGAATGACTTTGAAGCCAGTCCAGGTTCTTGGGTCTTGGTCTTGTTGTTTTTGAAAAAAATATGAAAGATTGCTTAGGAATTCATTGAAACTGCATCAGATATTCGCTTTCCTTTTGACACTCTCTTTTCCCATGTCATCCTCTTCAAAATGGCTCCTTACGGTCATTTTAGCTTGTAGCAGTCATCTGAAAGGAATTGACAAGTCCTATCGATCGATAAGGCTAAGCCGACTTTTTGTCCTCCAATGCATGAAAAATTGTCAGCTCTTTTTAAATTGGGATTTCATCTCAAGCCAATATGTCTTTTCATGTAATATATTTATGAATGTTAATGATATTTCTGTTTTTGGTTATGCATGCAATCAAATTAATATCGTTAACCATTTAACGAGCTTATGAAAATTGGCAATCTATTGATGAAAAAATAGCGAAAATCTGAAATCTTATTTTCTTTCCTCATATCCAGTTTTATTCCGTCATGTATTGTCTAATGATTAGTTTATCTTGTTGCGACAATAAAACGCTTGTTCCTTCATTGTTTGAACTGTGCTCTTAATGTGATCTTCTGATAGTATTTTTAACATTTTTGTCAGTTAATATCTACTAAAAAATGTAATCTCAGAGTCAAATACTCTCAACTTGGAGACTATTTTGCAACAGTATTTGTTTCGAAATGCCTAGAATGAGTTAATATTTGTGACTTCATGGCGATTACTATTTCCGTAGCAATAATTTTTACCAAGATTTCTGACCTGCGTGTTCGTTCGTCTGTTTTTAAGCTGTGTTGAAGCTTTAGGTCTCTCACTTTGTATTGATGCTTCTCTGATTACCGATCTTTCTCGATTTACCAATGTAGGTATAATTTTGACTTTTTGTTTAAACTAACCATCACTAATCAAGTTTATGTTTCAAATTTGTTATTAATTAGAATTGTTTAATCGAATTTGCTATTTTAATCCTTGTTATTGTTTAAAGTATCGAGTACCGGTTGTAATTTAAAGAGCCTTTCAATTTTCTATGAGCTGCTTGGGCATGTTTGCCTTGTAAACAGCTGAAAGATCCTTCATCTGCGCGAGTTGATTGTTCTCTTTATTTTAAACGATTCATTTTTTCGTCATTTTTTAAGTTAGTAATTTCATTTATCTTTTATTTTTTTGTTTATTTCACAGAGATTCTATCTTGACAAATTCACCATCTATTAAACAACTGTAACCGACAAAGAAAAAGTGAAATGATTGTGACAAACGATGACAGAGAGTGTTGCCGGTCACTTGTCTGTGATTCTAATGGTATCATTATTGCTGAGATGGTCTATCGATGCATGATTTGTGCATATATTACGGATTCAATATGTGATGCTCAGAGACACTATCAAATACGTCATATGGAAACCGATGTCCAACCATCATCATCAACATCCAACCTTAAAAGCGAGCCTCTTGACTCTCTTGACGAAGAAGATGATTGTGAAGAAGCAGAGCCTTCTGGATCATCACCAAGTAATGCCAGAGGTGGTTTTGTTACCTGTGCAGTTTGTCATATAACCAAATTTTATGCTAGCGTTCAAAGACGCTATGGTCAATTTACATGCATGGGATGTGCAAAATTTTTTGGAAGATTTTTGCTAAAACCAAGAAAATATTGTTGCCCTAATCTAGGTAATTCTTTTTCACCTTAGCTTACGCTACATTCAAACTGCTTTTTCTAATCTTTGTTTTATTTTTATTTTTCTTTGTTTTAGGTAATTGTCCTCTTGATGCTACACCAAGATGTAAAGCTTGTTTACTTCAAGCTTGTATTGATACGTACCAGATTGACGAGAAAAGAATGAAAATAGTGAACGCTAACAGACCAGTTCGTAAATTAGCCGTCAACCGTCAACCAAGCTCATCCAACAACAACACTACACGAGACGTTAATTCATCGGCTTTGACAACTTCATCTCTTCCAATTACCCATAGCAACAATGATGCAGGTCTAAACTCGTCAACCAGTGATAATAATAGAATGGACATAAGTCCTCAAAAGACCAGTATTTTAGGTCAGCAATTAACCTCATCATCAGCAGCTGGCGCAATAGCAGCAGCGGCTGCAGCGGCAGCATCATCATCAAGTCGTTCCCGTACATCTAACACTGCAGTACTTGCTCTTTTACGGTCAACTGGTAAAAAGAATTGGGGCTGTCGTAAATGTGCTGGCTGTCTAGTCGAGGATTGTGGCAAGTGCAACTATTGTTTAGACAAACCTAAGTTTGGAGGTGCCAATACTTTGAAGAAAAAATGCATACAAAGAAAGTGTCTTTTACAAGAACAGCAAAAATTGGAACAGGCACAAAATAGCTTGAGGAACGCATTGAAATAACCCTCTTTATCTTACTACATCCATATCTAAGGTGAAATGGGAAATGCAAGATTAAACCAACGAAGCAATCAGTCTTAATCTTTTCACTGGTACTACAAACGAAAAATTGACCTATCCTTTATCGAAAAACTTGCTTTATCCCTCATTTAATCTGCATCTTGCATCTCAAGTCAGCTTGGGTTAAACATTAAGACCAATTGTACTCTAATTGACTTAACCTTTATTCATTTACTCTCTTTATCCACCTTCCTTTTAAATTTTTCAATTTATCTCAACGCTTGATCTTTTCAAGCCATTGCTCTTGTTTGATCTCTAGTCAAATCAACTGTGTTTGTATGAATACAAAATTATTGGTAGATTTCACCTGATTGGTATCTTTAGGGATCTCATCTTTAATAATAATCTAAATTATCCTAAAGTCCAAGACTAATTTGACCAATAATAAATGATTTTCAAATCAATTGATACAAAAACAAATCCGTGTTCGTGATTGTGAACTGTCAACTTGAGTTCAAACCTTTTTAAATGAAAAGTTCTTTGTTTAAAGGACTTGAGGAAGATTTGAAGGAACTCGTTCAAGAGTTCTTCATAGAGAGAACATTCTCGGTTCGGATTTCAAACTTCAAGCGGCTTGAGTTACGATAAAACATTTGAAATAAAATAAAGCAAAAATAATACATTTCATTTGCACTTTGAGAAGTTTGTCCAGGTGATTGAGACTTTATTTGGTTGTACAACATATCGTTAGCATAATAGGCTATGTAGACAGTGTATTCTGCCGACTAGACGTGCATGAACATAATCTTCCTGGTTCGGTATGAACGATTACCTTGATTTACTGAATTAACTACACAAAAAGAGAGCGACATTTGATTCTTTGCTTTGATTTAGCACGTAGAAAGTCATTATGAATTTATCAAATCGGGTAACACTCATACGATCTCTTGTTGCATCTATCGATCTATCAATGAATTTAAATTGGATCACTCTTGACCAGTGAATAAAGTTGAAACCATTGCAAATTTCACGCAAAAATGTTGAAGTTCAAAGTTTTTACACTAACATGTAAAAGGTTAACAAAGACTGTGTTTCAGAAACGTAAACAAAAGGACAAACAATTGAGTATTTGTAATCCCTCATAAACAATAAAAGAAGAGCCTTTCCTTTGGCAAAAGCAGCTAAATTGATTTAATTGTTTCTCTTGCAAATTAAAATTATAACACTGGAGTCATAATCAGCTTAAATTTAATTTTTAACTTTCACTTGGATATAAATACACTGATTCATTGCTATGAAAGTTAACTGGTGTTTCAAACCATTGAATCACATTTTGACGATTTGGTGCCTGTAAGTCTAGTCTCAATGGCGTAATTCAATTTTGAAAAATTAGTCCAAAACATTATGAGTCATACCTTATACATTTGTTTGTCCTCTTTTGATCTGTTACTTAAAATCATCAAATTCTGAAATATCGATTATACCAACAATTTTGTACCAAACAATTATATTTCATAACAATGCTTCAACATACTTCTACTTTCAATTAGCACTGATTAGAGCTCAATTAAACTATCTGTTGTGCAGCAATCATCGAGTGCATTAGGCTCAGCTCGTTCTCGTCCCTATCAAAAACAAGCTATTTTTGACAAATCTTTTGGTATCCTCAATCCTTCTGGTTGCTGTCCATTTAATGAATGTTGCTCCTGTGAGCCAGATTATTTAGATGACGAGCCTGTTTCACCAGCATTACCAGTACCAAGTTTACCTGGAGTCCCATTACATTTAATCGATATGGTTCATCCTGATCATCAACCCGTAAGTCGCTTGTTGTTTGGTGCCGTATGTCCGACCAAATGGAGCAGCTGTGGTTGAAGTTGAAGAGTCGCCAGTAGCCACTGGACGAGGTGGTAGGGCAACTGGTACCAGTAATAGTGGATCTTCATTGTTTGGTGGAAGTGGGCTATTTTCACGGTTTTTACCTTCTACCATTGAAAGTACTGCCAACTTCACTCAACAAGTTGACCCAAATGACTCGCAAATAACATGGTTTCCGTCAAATTCAACTCAAATACCAATGGTTTTGCTCTCAAATCAATCAACTAAGCTTGATAGTTATAAAATCTTCAGCAATGAGGCTGTATTAACAAATGATGAAGCGAATAAGTTAGCTTACTCAGGTTAAAAGTTAAAAAATGCCTAAACTTTACAACTTAAATGGTCATCTTATACTCTCCATTTTCATTAATCATGTTATTTAAAGTGCTAATTAATTTTAAATGTAAGTTAAATGATTACAGAAGATTATTAGCTAAGCTCGTGATGATTAAGATGAAAAATGAAATATTAACTCGAGGAAGATGCTATAAAGACTAATTAAAAGATGAAGAGTAATGTAGTTAAAAAATTGATCAAAGAGTTAGAAACGTGGGTCAAATCACTGAGGTGAGGTATGAAGTGATTGAAAACTTTTTAATGAGGATTTAATTCCATTTAATCAGTTACATCAGCAGATTGATTATTAAATGAGTGGATTATCTTTAAAAGTCAAGCATTCTTTCAAAATTTGTAATAGGCGCTCAACAAGATTATTGATCCCATCTTAGGATCAGATCACATTTGTTGATCAGTTAGCTTTCACGTTTATTCAAATGTTTTTTAAAACTTACTCTAATGTTTAATTTATTTTAAGAAAATGTGAATTAATTATTATCGTTACTTGTATCTTACTCTGTGAAAATGTCTATTATTAAAACTTTAAAACGATTGCCTGATCTTTGCAAATTCAATGTCACCTTTTTAAAATCTTCTAGTCAATCATTTAATATCAATTGTGGCCAATATTCGGGAAGAATATTTTCTCGAGTTTTTAGTAATGCCGTTCGACATCATGATAAAGGTAAAGATAGTTTTATCTCACTTTTTGACGTTATGACAAAACTAACTGTCTTTCATTTTCTAGACTTGTTACTAAAAACAGGCAGAAAAGAAACTGGATTGTACGCCTTACCGGTTAAACCAAAAGCCAATCCATTGCATCCAAGGAATGCTCTTTTTGGACGGAATGACATTGATAAACATGGCAATCGTAGTGATATGTTTCTTGTAGAGGCTTTCAGTACAGCTGAAGAATATCGTTTTCCTGATTTTTATAAAGCTGTTTCCACTAAGCCTGAGTTTGAAGAAATTAAAATTAGTGATGAGCTTGATGGTGAAGTGTTAGCTTTCAAATTAAACAAATCTGGACAAAACAAACCATCTACAATATTTATTTTCAGGTAACACATGACCTAAATTTTGCTCGATGATTTAATCAAGAAAATTTTCTGTCTTTTTCTAGAGAAGGAACTACAGTATTCTGGAATTTTGACCACCACGATGTTAGTTTGGCTCGGTATTTTTTATAACAATTATTTATTGATTTCTGTTAATATTCCCTTTATCAGATCAAAAACACTCTTCAGCTGCTACGTGCCTTCGAAGTGAAATCATATCCTGATGATTTGGTTAAAGAAGAGAATGAAATAATGCAATTTACCTATTCTGAGTAAGATTCTGATTTTCACTGATAGGAACATCTGTGAATATTTGTATTCTCATATTCTTATATTATTTTTCAGAGCTAAGCCAAAAATTATTCGGAACATAATTCATATTACTGAGAATGAATATCCACCACTTTCACAATATACTTTTTCTAATGCTCTAGCGTTATCAGGTATTTATCAATTATGATTTTCCAGAAAGTTATTAATCCATTACATGGAATATTGAAAGATTTTAATCAAGCTGGAAACTAACTTTTTTCGCTTTATTTTAGTAAAACTGGCAATACGAGAGTCTTCATTAGATTATTATGTTGATAATATTAAATTCATTTCCGAGGACATAAGAGATGGAAAGAAAATAAAGTTGACTCAAGATCAAGTTTTCAGAAAGACGGGTGAACTGTTCAACCTTCGCCATCACATTAATTTAAGCTCGGATTTACTAGATACACCAGACTTTTATTGGGATCGACAAGAACTTGAAAATTTGTTTCTGCAAACTTGTAATTACTTGAACACGCTGAAGCGAACTAAAGTAATAAACGAAAAATTGAGTCACTGCTTGGAGCTTATGGATCTATTGCAAAGACATTTAAGTGATAAGCACCACGTAAGATTGGAATGGATGATCATCGTTTTAATTATGGTTGAGGTAACTTGCTTACTGTGAACTTCATCTTCTCTTCAATATCTAAAATTTATTTTTTATTTCTAGGTTGTATTTGAATTCCTTCATTATTTTGAAAGAATAGTGGATAACTGAATTAGTTTGGAGACAATTACGCGTCAACAAAAGTATATTTTCATGTCCAATTTAAGGAATCCAGTTGCCTTGATGTAAAATTACAATTTTTTTATTTCGATCTCATAACTGAGTGACATTTAACTTCACAATAAATTTCATACCAAGGTTAAGTTTATCTTTCAATTTGATAAATAAAATCTTGAAAAACTTCATTACATGTGCTTAATGCCAAAAATTAATCAAAACCAAAGAGTATAACTATTACTCTTTGATCAAAACTCCATAGTTTGATAATGAAAGCTCTAAGCTGTTCTTAGAAATGATCATTTGTTGCTGTTTTAATTATCAGTGACAGTGACAACAATGACATTAATCACATTTCGACTCTTTTTGAATGAAATGAATAACGATGAGACTAGAGGAAGAATGGTGAAAGAGATGGCTGATTTTTCATGACAGAATTACTCTCCAATCCGAGGACTTGCTGGTGGACTTGGTCTTTGGTCACCCTTTGGTTTCCCTCCATCAAATGGACACGGCACGATCTGTAATTTGATTATTAATAACAGATATTATTTTAAATGCTAAAAAAAGCTGATACAAATTATGCAATTGTAGCGCCAGCTTCCGACAAAGAAGCTAACTTTTCGTATCGATATGGTGGATTCAAGTAACCTATCAATTATGCAATTTCTTGAGTAACTCAAGTTGAATTTATTATTGTTTAATGTTAATGTGTTAATTTGTCAATACTTTTGTTCAAATTTTGTTAAATTTGTGCTAAATTTTTAATCATATGTGTTTCAATATTGATTGAAATCGGTGCAGAAGTTATCTGTCGCATTGTTTACTGTTTGATCATCTTAAATTAATTCTATTCTTTGTGAAGAGATAAATTATTTGTTTTATCCTTAAAGCTATTTTGGATCTAGAGTGAAACATGGCCACTCCTATGCCGTCAGAAGCTGACTTGTACAAAATTTTTTCTGCTGCTGATAGAGACAAATCAGGACACATATCTGCTGATGAATTGCAAAAAGCTTTGAGCAATGGAACATGGGAGCCTTTTAACTTGCGATTGGTAAAAATGATGATTGGTATGTTTGATCGAGATGGCAATCAAACAATTGATTACAATGAATTCAAACAGCTTTGGAAGTTTGTTAATGATTGGTTGAATTGTTTCCGTCAGTATGATGCCGATCGAAGTGGCTCAATCGGTAAACACGAACTGAACCATGCGCTTAATTCATTTGGTTATCGTTTATCTGACGCTACTTATAATTTGTTCATGAAAAAATTTGGCACACCAGATGGACAGTCCATTATATTTGACAATTTTCTTCTCCTTTGTATTTCTTTACAAGGAGCGACTGCATCATTTGCTGCTTTTGACGTTGAACGCAAAGGGGAAATCAAAATAAGCTATGAGCAATTTTTGAACTCAGTTGTCCCTCTGATTGCCTGATTGCTGGATCCAATCATATATTCATGACAACTATAATCATGATCATCATAATCATTGATATTTCCAAGGCCATAAACTGTTACGAAAATTCCAATGCTCATCTAATTTGTTAATCTTATATGAAAATTAATCTATGTATCTCATTTTGGAAAATCTATTAATAAGTGGGTCAAATATCAACATTATTTGAATAAATTACATAATTGTGCAAAGTATAGAAGAAAGTTTTCAATTTATTTTTCATATTTATCAATGAAAAACGGAATACTATATTCTTTTGGAAGCAAATTTTACTTAATTCAGATTGTATTACAATTTTCCATGCAACTTGGTTTAATATTGAGTTATCGTCTTCATCCCTATCAGATGATTTAGTATCAGAAAAATCAAACAAATGTGTCAAGTATGTTACAGAACATCAACGATGACCCTTGGAGTTGGACCTCTAAAACCAATGGATTGGCTGATCTTGATTCTTCGTTAAATGATGAAATGATCAATTTAGAAGAGGTTGATGAATTATTGGGCATTTTCGGTCAAATCGATTCCAATCAGTTGCCCACCAGAACTCGAAATTGTGTTACTAAACGTCAAGATTATGTTGAAGATATTCAACCTGAACCATCCATCTTGTCCTGTTTGTCCTGAATCATTTATAGTCCGAAGGAACGTTGCGCGCCATTTCGAAACTTGTCATGAGTTTAATCACCTGCGCTTTCTTTCATGAAGTGTTAACCTCAGCACGCAATGCTAAATATCATTGTATCATGGTCCATTATTTTATTACACATTACAATAATATGTAGTTTAAATTTTTACCAGCGATGTTCACAAAGTTTGGACGTTCGATTCTCCATCCATCGTGAACCGTTTTTCTCTATTTATTCATGCTATTGCCTTCTCTTTTACATTATTACTTTAAATTACGAAATGTTAGGATATTCCAAATTTTAAATCTTTAACATAATAAAATATCTATGTTCGTTTGTTTGCCTTTTTCGTTCAATATTAATTCAGCTTTCTCATATGAGCAAATAGACTAGACATGTTAAACAAGTCTAGTTAAACCAGACAACCAAACAGTGCTAATGCTGCAACACGTTGAAGACATATTTTAATGTGATATTAATGTAGCCTATGCAAATTGAAAATTAATGATGAACAAACGCCGTCAATATGAAATAAAACCATAGCTTAAAATAGCCATTGATTCATCACAATTAGAAAATGCGCAACATACGTATTTTTGTCAATTTATTCACAAACAAATATAATAATATGATTGTAATTTATAATAATTATTTATGAATTTTGGTTAACCTCTAAAAGGCTACGCTATGGTTTCATCTGCCTCATTTTTTTCCATATGGATCTTTTCAATTTGCCAAAAACTAAGGATTTGATTTCTGTTTTTGATTGATTGTTCTACCCATTTTAATTGGAATCAAGAGAACAAATTTTAAAAGAAATACAGAAGGATCAAATGCCGAAAATGATTATCAACTGCATTAATAAATAAATGAACAGTCAAGGCTCAGTTCAAGAAACGCGGTTCAAGGAAAGAAGAGTTGCATTTGAAAATGGTGATGTTTAGAAATTAAAAAATAACAGATTTACAATAAGGTGTCATTTTATCATGTTTAAGAAAATTGAAGCTCAAAAAAGTTTGCATAAGGTAACAAGTTAAGGTGAGATACTATTAAATAGTGTGTCCTTAATTGTCTGAGCCATTAATCCATGGAGAGCTTCAATCGTAGTTTTACAACAATCTTTAGTGGCCTTAGATAGTTTATCCTCTGTTCTTTTCTCACTTGGATCAACTCCGATCATAAAGCCTCCTCTTTGACATTGTGATTCAGCTTGTTCCAATTTATCAGCCAAGTCCAATATCTGTCCAGTGGTATAGTCTGAATTTGTTAGTAAACTGGATGAACTAAGAGTATGGACCCAATAATTATTCCAAAGCGAGTCTAACAGTTTACAATCGAGAGATGATTTAAAGTAGGAGACATCAAGTGAATAATATTGTTTACAATGTACTCCAAAATCTTCAATTTTATTCAGAGGAATACTTTGATACTCAGAAGGTCCTTCGTCTGGTGGCTTATAGCCTTTTGGATAAGTACGGAAAGCACCAAGATTAACTTTACCAGCAGAAATAGTACGAGTCGGATCGATAACAATAGCAACAAAAGGCTCTTGAAATTGCTGATTCAACATTTGGGTGGACACATCTATACCAGACAACCAACATCCATAACCAGGATGCGAATGGTACCAACCGATGACATTTTCTTGACGGCCAACTTGTTGGGCCGTTTCAGTGTAAGCAGCCATGTATTCATAAGCTTGAGCTTGAGCATTAACCCGAGTCTCGGTTCCTTCGACAGGCAATGCAAATGAGTCCATGACAATCATCGTATTAGCATCAACCTTACCCAAAAGTAGGCCCATGACTTCTAATGAACCACCGGAACGAGCATGCATCACCATTTTAAGCAATGCTAAAGCAGAAACTCTAATATCTTTGAAGTAGTGTGGATCTTTCTCCCATGGTTTAGCTTGTAAAATTGTTTGTTGCTGATTACGGTTATATTGATAAATTTCATCAACTTTTCTAGCATTATCATTATTACCATCCATTGTTGGTCAAACAGAGAAATCACTCACGGAAAATCAAGAGAAACAACCAGAACACTTAAGGAAATCAGAAACAATAACCAAGTGAATATGCAATAAAGCTTAATCGTAAACCAAAAGTATCGATATTTTAAGATGCATATTTTACAGCTGATTCTATACCGATTGATCGAAATTACAAACAGTAATTCGATAGATCGAAACTAATTACAAAATTGTAGCAGCGTTCATTTATGGACAATTAACCAACAAATTAATCCTAGATAAGCTCGAAATGAGAGTACTCTTTGGTATCAATTTCATCTTCACGCGAATCAGGACATTTATAAAAAATCAATGACCAATCATTGAGATTCATAACAAACTTAACCAGTTTCATCTTATTAATGGGAGAGAGTCATGATTTAATGATTCCACTTTTTATTATATAATTATAAACATTTGAAAACAAAACAATAAATTACAATTATGAAAACAATATGGCAATTATAAATGGGTAAAAGGCCATCTTTCGTATTTCTTTCATAGCGAAAAGCTAAACTTACAAAGAACCGAGAAAACATTAAAACTCGGCAATGTTTAGGTTTAAATTATCAACGGCAACATTAACATAAGACGATTATTATCATGATCATTATGTTCATGTTATTATTATATTTTCTTATATAATATCTATCGTAGTATTAATTATGATGTTTAGCATTAAAAGGATATTTACAAATGTATACAAGAAAAAAAAGCATCAGTCTCTAAGAATGAAAACAACCTTGGAAGTGTATTTTACCCATAGGCATCAAGTTTGATAAAAGGATGAAAGTTTTGATTTAAATTTAATTCACTTTGGATGATCATCATTTCTTTAATTGATGTTACCATTATCATGGTGCTTATCGACAACTCAATAGTAATTACAATAATTTATATGAAATGGTAACAGTCTAGTTATACGGACACAAAACAATAACAAAGCCGTTAATTGAGGCCCCAGGCCGTCCAAGCCCAAAACATCAAGATTCACTGAAAGTAAAGGTAAAAACAATTTTAATGATTGATATTATAATTAGAATCAGGTTATCAAGTGCGATAATAATCGATTATTTATTTGAATCTATAGCACTGTTTATTATATGTGTCCGTATAACTAGACTCTCACCTATGAAATAATCGTTAATTTCTTTCCATTCACGCCCAGAACTACTTGTCCGTTAATTTATTAAGTAACCAAGAAAATCAACAAAACATCAAGATTCACTGAAAGTAAAGGTAAAAACAATTTTAATGATTGATATTATAATTAGAATCAGGTTATCAAGTTTGTAGGCTCAATAATATTGGTCTCAATACAGACAAAGGACAAGTCTTGATTTTTTTACAATGAAAACCTTTGTCTACAATTTTAAGCCCACATCCATGATAATTTGATTGATTTTACGTTGAACTTCGTCGTATTTTCCCGTGATTACTGAGTATTTAAGATGATTTTCTTGGCTTGACAAAAATCCTTGACATTGACCAAGTTTGGCTCAAATATTGATCTGTATTCAATTGAAGAGCTATTGAATGAGATCCAAACTGTCTATTTAAGGTAAACCAAACGAATGCTGAATCAATGGTTAAATTGAAATTAAAAAACGTTAATTTATAAATTTTTACACATGATGAGAATAATTTGTCCAGAGATTATAATGATTATTGTTACCAACTACCATTGTGGATGTGTTCAAATTGTAAGTTTGAAAGCAAACACATGACCGATTGAATTTACATCGTGAAGCTCACTTTAATCAATTATATTTAGCCTTTAGGTCAAGAGCTTACATGATTGATTAATAAATTTCATTGATTGACAATCTAATACTAAATTGACCTTCGTGTTTTTGGTAATAAGATTTATATGAAGTTATGGGGTTTAGTAATGAGAAAATTAATAGAGTTTGAAATCAACTGAGAAGCTGAATAAATTCAAGTGTTAAATTGTTAGATGAAAAGAAACAACAAAAATTATAATCAAACTAGGCGTAGGTCTAATAATAATAATAGTGTTATTGATGATAATCATTTTGATTTGTGTTATAATAGTTGGATTCCACCTCAAGGTTGATTGTAGGGAACCATGTGATGATCATTGGAATACCTTGAATAGATTTAAGGCGATCAAGGCCAGAAAAAAACCCCGAAAAAAGCATCACTTATACATAATAATAATAATTGCTAATAATAAACTTAATTTTTTGTCCATTGCGCTCATCTGGATTGCATCGTTGGAAACAGTGAAGTCATACTGACTGTAATGCGGTAATATTACCCAAAGTCAACCTAAAGTTAACCCAAATTCAACTCGTTAATATTGGATGAACCAGAAAGCAATGGTATCACTGCGATGAGCCTTTTTGTTTCACTCATTACGATACTTTACATGTGAAAAATTGATTTTTGATTCTGTTTTTACGTTTATCATTAATTTGCTAATCGAAACACTTAGATGATTAAATACTAATAAAAGCTAATTGTTATATGATAAAAATTTGAACTTTTATTCGGATCATCTGGTTACTTTCCTTGTTAGACTCAGCTAATGTAAATACAATTTTAGTTTCTGGTTCATCGAAATATCTGCAACCAGAAATGGTAAAACCTAAATTAAGATTAGCTGGAAACAAAGAGCTTTCCAATGAACCGTTTAGCTTGTTAAGTAGTGAGAGTTACATTAGTTATTTGGTATTAATCAATATTAATTAACAAAAAGGATGAAAGGATATTTTAGTTTAATTAGTGAGAGCAGGGATAAGATTAACATAACATTTTAACTGATACAGAATGATGATAATTTAAAGAGATGGCGAACAATAATTAACTCATCTTAATAATGATAAAAAATTGATCTTCTACCAACCAGTGAATATGCACATAAATTGAAATAGCTTCAGGTTTTACTAATCACGAAAGCGAAACAAAAACATCAATCAATTCATCATCATTATCAGTAACAATGAGCATCATGCAATTAAAATTATTCATATACATAAAGATTGATAATTTCCCAACTATTTGTATCCATTTGTTGGTGATTACAGTTAGATTGTGATTAACTAAACTCTTTCACCCATGAAAATAAATGGATAAATTAAGCACAACAATCAAGTAAATGATTACTTTAAATATCGGAAGGAAAACCAAGTCTTAAAATAACGCAAAAAAGGCAATAAGTTGATGTAAATCAATGAATTAATCAGTTGAAGTCTAATCAAATGAAGTCTACAAAAATTGTCCAAAATTGTATAAATTTGAAATCCAAATGTGATATTAAAGGTTTGAATTGTAAATCAGTCAATAGGTAAAGTCAATTGATCCGTATGATTAGTTAACTTTGAATAACAGATGAATATTGGACATCAACAATCAACAGCAAAAACCTAGCAAATCAATGATAATCAGTTGATAAAGTAAACTTTCGCCCTTCCCTTAATCAACTGATTAATAAGGGATCCAACAATTTGGTTAGCTTTGCTTAATACATTAGTCTATTGAAGCATAAGAAGGGAAAACGCGAATCATTGATGCGACCTTTTTCATGTACAATTTTTGTATTCGTTGAACGCGTTTGACTCTTTCAAGGATCATTGATGTTTAACTAATTGTGATCATAAACAAAAACATATTGTTATATTATCATTGTCTTTAAATCTTGATCAGCATCGCTCAAATCTGTTATAATATACTTGTACAACAAACCTAACCCACACCTTATATTGATTCAATAACTCTAATAGTAAAGATAATAATTGAACGTTATTTACAAACAATACCATTTTTGCCGTTGAAAGGTGCATCAATTTGAGAGTAAATTGTCAATTGCAAGGTTAATCATATTAGAGAAACGACATTAATTAGGCTTAATGTTGTAAAGTCACTTTCAAAATCAAGCGCATCGAAAAATCTATTAGCTTTTAATGAAGCTTAAACATCTCCTTGATTAATACTTTAAAGATTTTAGATTGATTTGATTATGGATTTGATCGATGGATATTATTGATGATTAGGTTTTTGAGATCAAATATTCAATAGGAAACTAGAATCCGAATGAGCGAAATCAGTAAAAAAATTAAAACAGTTTATTAACAAAAAAATATACGAATCACCATTTAAACCAAACAATTTGCTTTTAAATTGAAATTGATAAGCATTATCAATTAATTTTATATTGAATATCACCGGACACAATTATAATTGAGCGTTTTTATAATTTGTTGAGTGTGAGTAAAAATATGTAGATTTTGTGTTTTTTTTATATTTTCATTGAAAAAAGGCATTGAAACAACGCATGAGAGATTGAAGGTTGGAGATTATTCTGGTCGACTTAAGATCATTTTTGGCACGGTCAAGAAGCCACAATATGATGATGATAATGATGATGATGGCGTTGATAGTGTTGATGTCAACAATACCAACAACAACAGCAGCAGTAAAAAAAGAAAGGTGAAGGAATAGGTGACTAAGTAGAAGACGGGGAAATTAAGAAATGGGGAAAAGAAGAAAAATAAATCCCTAAGATGATCATCATAATCGTCGTTAATTAAAATCTCATCCAATTACGTACGTTATCAAACGTTGAAAGGACCAGTTGATGATTCAGTTGTGGTACTTGTTGATGCCGGTGATCCTAAGCCAGTTCGGAAGTTACGGAACATTTCTCGAACTCGAGGAAGTTGAAGTCGACTCATGTCCATGTTTGGGAAGAGACGAAGGTTTCTGAACCAAGGTCGATTACCGTCCTTATTGGCATCAGAGTTAGAAGATGAAGATGAAGAAGGTGATGAACCTGATTTAGCACCATTGTTATTGGAGGAAGAAGACGATGAATCTTCGGGGTCACGGAAACTGTCTACATATGATTTGATTGAAGGTTGGTTAAGGTAGTTGTACCATTGTTGAAGGTATTGGTACTGTTCGGGGTGAAGACCTGGATGGGCTTTTTGTAAATCGGCAAGACTAGCATCTGCTCCAGGGGCTCCAGGAGTACCAGGGGCCATTGCAGGAGGTAAACCAGCTAAACCAACACCGGGAAGAGAACCAGATAAACCTGGAAGACCAGGAGCTCCAGGGGCTTGGAGAGGGCTTGGGAGTATCTGTCCATGAGTGGTTGAAGCAGAAGGATGAAGTTGACCATTGGCAGATGATGATGGAGCAGGGAGAGGGAAGAGTCCTAAGGGATTAGGTCCACCGATAAGACTAGGATAATTTTCGGCGCCCATTAATCCAGACAAGGGGAAAGCAGAAACATCAAATTGTGAGCCAGCGTGACCAGAAGCAGAACCAGGGACAGAAGCACCGGATGCACCAGCGGAAGCAGTTAAAGCATCAATTTCATTCCAAAGAAGGGGATTCATGGAGATTTGATTTCCTCGAGCTCCTTCAGAGTTTGCAAAGTCGGATAAATGACCTGATTTCATTCCCATGTTGAAAGGTGATCGAGCTGCACCCATTTGATAAGCAGAAAGAGGGAAACCAGAGGGTGACCAGAGACCAGGTCCACCGGCAAGCCCTCGGATTGGGGAGAAAGATGAAGGTCCACCATTAGCTGATAAACCTCTCATACGATACCCATTTGGTCCATAGTGTCCGTCAAAACCACCAGGTCTGAAGCCTCTCATTGGTCGTGAACGCATTCCTGGTCTGAAACCTCTTCCGTCTCCTAAAGGACCTGGAGTTGATGATGGACTAGAGTCTGAGCCTGATTCAATAGCTGATTCAACAACTTTATCGGCAGCTTTAAGTTCAGCATCGATATCAACATCATCATTACCATCTGATCTTGATTGACCTGAAGTTGATTCACGTCCATTTTGTTGATTGTTGTTTGGTGAAGATGTTACCGATCCTGGTGAACCACCATTTCGACGACCATATTCAGAATAAGCTGATGAACTATTTCCAAGAGTATCATTGAATCCAGACAGGGAAGGAACTCCAGCGTCTTTCATGAACCGGGAGTAGGAAAAACGAGGAACTGATTCAGCCAGATCCATTGTAGTTCCTCCAGGAACGAGAGATGCAATTGAAAATAAATTTCGTGAATTTTGAGGGAAAATCCAGTGGCCATTTATGGATGAACGACTTAGAGGATTGGATATACCGTTAAGAGATGAAGACAATGAAGAAGATGCAAGTTCACTTGGCTCAGGGAAAAGATAGTTGACCAATCCAAGTCTCTTGGTTATTGATGTATCATTATCAGGTTTAGATGGAGCTGAGCTATCATCAGCTAATAATGGGTTGGTTAAAAAACAAAATAAAATAAAAAATTCACAGGAAACAATCCAATATCGATTCATGATGAGTTGAAGATGGCTTCTATAAGAGTATTGATGAAAAAGAGAGAGGTAAAGAAAGATGAAAATTTTATAAACAAAAAACTAGAAAACAAAAATGCAATAATCAACGATGAATTTATAAACAAAATCAGTAAATGTTACAGTTAATCACCTTTACCTTGTCACGGCTGAAGATGAAATAAAAGTGTAAAAACAAAAAAAAGCAGCAACACAATGTCCTCAGTTTTACTTCACTTGTTAGTATTGAACTGATTACTAATAACGGAGATAACCGTTGAAGAGAAAGGTGAAGCAATAAGTAGATGATGAAGACGACCGATGACTATGATGATGATGAATAAGATCACAGCACAATAAGGAGCAAGAAGACAAAAGAAGAGGGAGAAAAGTAAAACTTGCAAATATTAATGTAATTGAACGTCTCTTTGCAGCGAAATTTTTTGCTTATTTTTTCAGCTTATTGACTGTTGGATTGTCAAGCTACAACTGACAACAACAATCGAAATCAATCGCCCTTTCTTTCAAATCCTAATCTACTTTCAATCAACCTCCCAATTTGCCAATAAACACCTTTTTCACCTAAAAAAGGACCCTTTTGCTCTATCTTCATCTTTCCCAAGAATCATCCTCCTTCCTGACACTTTCTAACTCTTCATCACCATAACTATCACTCTCATCATGAACAATCACAAGCCAGTTTAGTGACAGCTTAACCAGTGCCTACAGCTAAATTGTACCAGCTCAATAGCATCATAACTGTAACAGGCTTAACAGAAGGTAGTAAAAAGTAGGAGGTAAAATTGTTGAATAGCAGGGGAGACGTTCAGGGGGTTCATTATTGGACGGAAATTAGTAGTCGTAAACATGATCATGTATTTACTGGATGAAACGCGTACAAGCTGAAAACAATAATAACACCGCCAAGTGTAAGGGAAAGTTGACAGACTTTTAGTGTATATTATTGATAAACATGTTTACCGAACTGTGAAGCGATATTTCTTTTTTACCTGAAAAAATGTAGTAAAATTTCACTCATCAACATCATAATCAACCTAATACGATTAATCAAATTAACATTGAAGCTCACACTTAACTTTTTTTTTGAATTAACTCAATGGGAGGGACTCAAGGTTGACAAAAATAAAGCAAGCTTCAAAAGTGAAGGTACCAGTAATGGATAGAGTGATGGGGCTCAGGTAGCGACAGTCTAATGTGTGTATGTGTGTGTGTGTGTTTTTGTGTGATTCGGGAAGATGTTCGTGCTTGGTGATGAACGTTTAAAGTTGTGCGAACACAAACACAACTGGAGTCGTTAACAAGCACAAAAAAAGGAATCATTTTAATATTAGAAACATTGAAGAGTTACTTTCTCTACTTTCTGATGATTACATTTTTCAATCTTTATATCATTTCGTATTTCTATTAACAGCTACGCAATTCTACTAATATCATTACTATTATTAATGCTATTATTATGATTATTGTGATAAACACGATTAAATTGTTGGTGAAAAGGTGAAAGACAGAAAGGTAGAAAGTTAATGTTGACTGAAAAATCTTACAAAACTGGTAAGACTTTCAAGCTCAGGCTATTGATCATTTTTGACTATTCAAATCGGGTTCATTGCTATTGACTGTTGATCAGTTAATCTGATCACGTTAGTTGATAGTTTATTCCGAATCTTATTGTTCCTGGCTTCGACATTTGTCTTTACTCAAAATTTTGTATCATTTAAACCAAAACAACAAAAATTTGGAGACAATTTTATTACTTCAATTACCATTAATAGCTCGCCAATCTTATATTTTGTTTTTAATTCATAAAGCAAGGTAACGCAATCGGTCCTTCTGAGGTTTCAATTGTTTGGACGAAATCTATTTGATCATTTTGCAATTTTAATTTGGTCAAGAAGTTTATCATTCGCTTAATTTAACAATTTAGACAGTAAGAAATGATTGAGCTCATCGTATAATGCTGGAGCAAAACAGTTATTTATCAGTTTAGAATGATCAATTAGCGTTGAACTAGACCCAGAGAAGACTAGAGTATGTTCGGTAAAGTTTTGGACCGATTTACTCTGGTCAATGAGAGTTGTACTTTATTCCAGATTGTTATTATGAATAAAAAGACACAGTTAACACAATTGTTACATTTATGCACAAAAACACACAAATTGATACAAACATTGAAACATAAATGGGTGAAAACGCGTAAAAATCTATTGCTTCGCGATTTTGACTCTGTCACTCTATTAAGACATAAAAACTGAGTCCATTTGTGTGATTCAAAGATTCCTCTGATGAACAGTTTTCGAGAAAATCGAAGTCAAAGTTGAAACTTCGATGGCTTTTTGTGCAATAATGAAAGCAAATTTTTTCATGAAACTTATGCTATTTGATGCTAATTTTGGTAGTCAACCAGAAAAAAGTCTTATTTCGCGAAATAACATTTTATTTTTCCTTTAAAACCAATAAGTTCGATTTTCCATTAAACCGACCCCTTTCAGTGACCGTAAGACCTAAAGAGCTGAAACTTATTACCTGTGCACGAAAATTATCTGTACATATCATGGACTGTCTAAGCTCTTCAAAATATCAACAGTTCTCTATCTTTTGGCCATTGAACTTTAGACTTTGAACCTCGATATTTCGAGAATGGCTTCACTTTTATTCATCATTCTTTCTCTAATCCAATCCTTTACCAATAAATAATTCAATTCTATCACATAACTTCCCATTAGTGAATCCGGGTTGCGATATTTGGGGTTTAAATGATCGAGCAACAGCTTATTTAACAAAACAAACTCATATTAACCCATTTCTAGTTAAATAAACCACTTTTCTGGTTAAAGTTACAAATGAAATGCAAAGAGAACTGCAGGAGGCTCGAAAATTTGAGTTTAGAATTGGTAACTATTGGGATTTGTTGGGCCATAAAAACTGAGTCTATTGGTGCTACTAAATAATTCATACGACCGTCAGTTCACGAGAAAATCGAAGTCAAAGTTGAAACTTTGATCGCCTTTTGCTCAGCTATGGAAGCAGATTTTTCCATGAAACTAATTTTAGAGATGTAACTTTTCATAACCAACCAGAAAGTGGACTTATTTTGAGAAATAAAATTTCATTTTTCCTTTAACGCCGATAAGTTCGATTTTCAACTAAACCGACGAATTTCAGTGACCGTAAAAGTTATCGAATTGAAACTTATTTTTTATTTCATAAAAATTGTTTGTGTACATCATGGATTGTATGGTTTTTGTAAACTATCAATAGTTCTCTTGATTTTGGCCATTGGCCTTAAAACTTTGAACCTCAATATTTCGAGAAAAGTGGTACCTACAGTCATTATTCTTTCACTAGACATTAGATTTCATTATGGGCTATAATGTTTTGAAAAATAAAATCCATCAAGATCCTATGAAAAAAAGATATAGCATTCCATTACTTATGGTGTCAGATATGATTTTTGATTTATAAAGATGAATCGTTACTGAACACAAACCTTGATTGTTTGGAAAATATTGATTTTTGAATGTATTGAGTGATATTATATTATAGCCCATAATAAAATCTGGTGTTTAGTCAAATAATGATGAATGAAAGTGAAGCCATTCTCGAAATATCGATGTTCGAAGTTTTAAGTTCAATGGCCAAAATTCCGAGAACTGTTGATAATTTGAAGAGTTCAGACAATCCATGATTGTACAAACACTGTTTATGAACAGATAATAAGTTTCAGCTCTTTAAGTCTTAAGATCACTGAAAGTGGTCGGTTTAAATGAAAATCGAACTTATTGGGTTTAAAGGAAAAATGAAATTTTATTTCTCAAAAAAGTCCCTTTTCTGGTTAACTATCAAAATTATCATCAAATAGCATAAGTTTCATGAAAAAATCTGCTATCGTTATTGCACAAAAACCCATCGAAGTTTCAACTTTGACTTCGATTTTCTCGTGTTCTGTTGGTCGCATGAATTATTTAGTAGCACCAATAGACTCAGTTTTTATGGCCCAACAAACCCCACTAGTTACCAACTCTTAACTCAAATTTTCGAGCCTCCTGCAGTTCTCTTTGCATTTCATTTGTAACTTTAACCAGAAAAGTTGTTTATTTACCAAGAAATGGGTTAATATGAGTTTGCTTTGTTAAATAAGCTGTTGCTCGATCATTTAAACCCCAAATATCGCAACCCGGATTCACTAATGGGAAGTTATGTGATAGAATTGAATTATTTATTGGTAAAGGATTGGATTAGAGAAAGAATGATGAATAAAAGTGAAGCCATTCTCGAAATATCGAGGTTCAAAGTCTAAAGTTCAATGGCCAAAAGATAGAGAACTGTTGATATTTTGAAGAGCTTAGACAGTCCATGATATGTACAGATAATTTTCGTGCACAGGTAATAAGTTTCAGCTCTTTAGGTCTTACGGTCACTGAAAGGGGTCGGTTTAATGGAAAATCGAACTTATTGGTTTTAAAGGAAAAATAAAATGTTATTTCGCGAAATAAGACTTTTTTCTGGTTGACTACCAAAATTAGCATCAAATAGCATAAGTTTCATGAAAAAATTTGCTTTCATTATTGCACAAAAAGCCATCGAAGTTTCAACTTTGACTTCGATTTTCTCGTGAACTGACGGTCGTATGAATTATTTAGTAGCACCAATAGACTCAGTTTTTATGTCTTAATAGAGTGACAGAGTCAAAATCGCGAAGCAACTGATTTTTACCCGTTTTTACCCATTTATGTTTCATTTTTTGTATCAATTTGTGTGTTTTCGTGCATAAATGTAACTATGTTAACTGTGTCTTTTTATTCATAATAACAATCTGGAATAAAGTACAACTCTCATTGACCAGAGTAAATCGGTCCAAAACTTTACCGGACATACTTTAGACTTTTCTGGGTTTAGTTCAACGCTAATTCATCACTCTAAACCGATAAATAACTGTTTCGCTCCAAACTTCAGCACATTAACTAAACTTTTCAATCTATCCGTTGGTATCCATTTGCATTTTTAACTTACCATTTTGTTAATTGTCTTGGCTGTCGCCAACTCAATCATTAAGACTTTATCATTTGGTTAAATCTTCATTTCCTTTGAATCGTTTGCTGATTTCAAATTTTCAAGATTCATTTAAGCAGCAATTATCGACTCTATTAACGGTTTAATCAGTGATTAATATTAACCTGTGCTTTACTATTTTACCAATCGCTTTACCAATAATTTTACCTAACCTTGGCTAAAACAAGGTAATTGATGTTTCAATTTATTAGTTGATCATTTTTACAATTTTATTTATATATTTTCATCAGTAAATTGTTGTTGAGGTCTTTTTTTTATAAAACGTTTATTAGCTACTAATGGGTTCTGGTTCATAATTTCACTCACACCAAGTTTCAAGCCTATCACCTTCACTATTAAACTCATGATGATTAAAGATGATCATTATTAAAGATAATCTAAGGTGTAGCCATAATGAAAATTGAATCGAAGACAAAATTATAGTTCAATATTATCATTAACAAACGGATAATGTCAATAAACCATATTTTTGCTTGTATTTGGTACGAATAGATAAAAAAATTTTATAATCGATCACAATAATGGGGAATCATCGCGATATAATATTTCTGGAATCGGAGAAGCAGAAGAAGCTAAACAACAACAATAACATCAACAGCAAAACTGGATTGCCTTGAGGTTTTGATTTCTTTAAGGAATCAAAGGTAACCACAGAAGAGGAGATAAAAAAAATGTTAATTAAGGGCTAACTTTTGTACTATTTTTTTCTTCTTCTTCTCATTATGCTATCCTTTTCCTTTCTCATCCATCGTGATGAAAGGGTTTGATTACGGCGTTAAATGACGTCTGAATAAAAGGCGTAAGCAGCCAGGGTAAACAAGAGACTTGATTTTAGGCTGGTTACATTATCCAAGGTTTGAAAATGGTATCACGAATAATTTGATATGTGGCCAATCCTGTTCTATGGGTAAAAAAATACACTCACACATATTAACGAATTGACGAGACTAAAGTGGAAAGAAGGTGTTGACCAAGAAGATGTTTCCAGTCAATTACGATGAAATTGACCTTGCTTGATTTGGGTATATAAGAGGATCGATCTGTGTGTTTCCAGTCATCAGTTTTGTTTTCAACTCAAGCAATCCTTTCAAATCAATTTCAATCTTTTGTGCTCTTGCATTTACCCAACAACTCTCAACCCAAAACACCAAAATGAACTCACTCGTAAGTATTGGACTTTCAATGTTTCCCTTTCATTATTCATTCCTGTAAACCCAAAATAATCATTAATATATTTCTTGTGATATTTTTTTCGTTATTTCCTAGGTTGCTCTCCTTATTGTCGCCCTCATCGTCGCTATTGCTGAAGTCGCATACAGTCAATACGCATACGTTCCAGCTTATAGTGGCTACACTGGATACGGTTATGCAGCTCCATCAGTTTACTCTGGCTATGCTTATGCTCCTGGCTATGCTTACTACAAGAAGTAAATCAATCCCAGGGAATCATGGTGAAAACGCTTCTCCTTTTTCCTAGTGAAACGGTTTATTCATGGCAATCCTTTTGAACACCTTTTGACACACACAAATCCGTTGTATAACCGTTGTACCAATCTCCTTATGGTTAGTTTTATCATATGTTAATTTACATCAACAGTTTTATTTTCAATGTTTTTGTTTTCCTTTAACTTTTCTCTCTATCTCTCTCCTGCCTAAGTTACATTGAAAACAATAATGTAACCTCAAACAGTCAATCAGTTGCATTAAAAAAGTCATTTTTTCAAAAAAAAACAAACATTTTAAAATTTATTTTCGCGTATTTTTCGAGTTTTGTGTTTAGTGTGCAAGTTGGTGTGGAATGAAATTTCATTTGAAACTCGTTTGAAATCATTAAATCATCTGTTATTTTTTACGAAAAGTAGTTTAATTCAGTAAAATATTTGCTGCAAAATGTTTTGTTAATTACAACACAATTTAATTCAAGTTAAAATTTTCAAAATGTTAACAACTTTAATTCTGACTGCCATCTAGGGAGAACAAATAAAGGTTGGTTGTTAAATTTCACTTTTAATCTTTGTTATGCAATATGTTTATCCATTAATTTCTCTTTGATTCTATCATTGATAATAATTAGCTTTCAAAAATTGATTACTGAGGCCCTCTTATTCTAGTCCAATTTAGTTTCTGTCTGAAAATACTACGTTTCGTGGTCGATTTTGTTCATCTTGTATTCTGCTCATCATCTTCTACGGCTAAGGATTCCTAGCTTTGCTTCTTTGTTTGAGTCTCGAAATCTTAATCACCATTCTTTCCTGATTGTGAATATTTAACCCATAAAATGGACCAAGGAGCAGCTCAAAATCCCCCTAAAGGTGATCAAATTGGGGCAGTCCCTCAACCAGAAATAAAAGATATGGGAGACATAGCAAATTTTGTAAGTAAACAAGATTTTATATCTAGCATCTCCATCTTTATTATGAATCTATCCAACCTATCCTTTCCCTTGAAGTGAATTTTTTATGAAAATTTCTCGTTTCATTATCGAAAGATGTTTTTCTGTTTATTTATATTAGGTGCAGACACTTTTGCAACAAGTTCAAGATAAATTCCAAGTGATGTCTGAGCAGATATTGAATAGAATTGATGAAATGGGCCACCGAATCGATGATTTAGAGCAAAATTTAAATGAAGTTATCCAACAAACTGGTATTACTGATGAAATGATATCCAATTCAGCATCTCAACAGATTACCAAGAGTAGTTCTATGCCGACTGATAAACCACCTTTGTCAAGCAACTAAAGTCCCAATGAATATATCCAATTGTTTCAGGAAATCAAGCTATTCAAATACTGAGCTTGTAAGAAAATGATGCACTTTTAATTTACTGTTTTTTCACTTCTATCCTTCTCAAGCTCAATCGATTCACCAAATTTATCATCAATTTGTCTATTGCCAATTGGGTTGTTATATTCAATACTCAATAGGCTATTATTCACCAATAAACATAAAAAAATATGCAATTTGCGTTTATTTTTATCATCAACTTTCAAGTAAAAATTATATGTAGTTTTTGTCTCATGTAATCATGTTTTCATGTAAATCCTTTCCACTGAGCTTCATAATAATTGACTTAAAATAAAAATTAAGGTTACTAATCATAAATTCTGGTTTCATTTGATACAAAACAGTGTTTAAATGTTAGTTTATTTTAACACAGTAAACAAAATCACAAAATAGTTGTAGCCGAGTTTCAAAAATTGTAAAATGTAGTTGGGGAGGATCCATGGAAACTGCTTCATCCTTAACAACCCGTTGTTTTGGTTAGCTCAATCCCTTTAATTCATTGCCAATATCATATTAATTGTCACTATTTTATGTTGATATTTGTTGTTATTTTAAATTTGTTAGCTTTTTTTTAACCATGACATCACTTTCTATTTTAAGGCCTTGTTGGATGACGCTAAATCGCCCAGTTTTTGGACAAAACTCTGTTTATATTTTAAGGGTGAGTTGAACAGAGACTTTTTTGTTTTTCTCATTTGCTTTTTATGAATGAACACTGATATTTTATTTTATTTTTTATTTATATTTTCTCTGTAGAGATTCTCTGATGATAAAGACGATCGTTTCAGAAAAATTTCAAGTAAATTTGATGATGGCTTGTTTCACATGAAATATGAAGATAAACAGTTAGTCCTTTCATATTGGACTCCCTTACGCCAAGTGATCAAATGCTTTGTCAAAGATGATGATGACAGAAAAGAAATTAAATTGCTCGATGGCAAGCAAAAAGTTAAAATTGACGAATCTACTCCTTTAGGAACAGCATTCCAGGCCAATGAAAAGATATTAATGCAATCCAAAAAGAAATCTATACTGTTGGATTTTGATGGATCCCAATCTGGTCTCAAGAAGTGGCTATCATCCACTGAGGTTGTTGAAAACGAACCAATTGATGTGAGTTAGTTTTTTACCTCATTCAATGCTTATGCCTATCAATCTCACCATATTACCATCAATCGAAGACTATTATCTGAAATTTATTGCTAATTTTTGTTATAATTCACAGGAGCTTGAAAGAAAGAAGAATGTCTTATTGCAAAGCTATGTTCCTATGCTGCAAAATTTCGAAAAAATACTGATAGAATCTCATAGTTCATCGGCCATACGATTCAAATGGATTGGTTTATTCCTTTTATCCTCTCAACTTGGTTTTCTTGGAAGACTGATCTGGTTTGAATACTCATGGGACATCATGGAACCGATAACTTGGTGTGTCACATACTCAGCAACAATATTGTAGGTTACAACCATTCATGTCAACCAGAATTTATTAATTGACGATTTAAACTTTTTTTTAACAGGACTTTCAGCTATTACGTAATTACGTCGCAAGAATATCAATATCCACAAGCTGAAAAGCGAATGGCGATAAAACACTTTTGTGAAAAGCATTCTAAAAAGCAATTCGATCTCAACTCATTCACTCAACTTCATCAACAAATCAAGTTCCTTGAAAAGCAAATCAAAGAAAAGAAAAAAAAGCAATCAAAAACTGAAGCAATCCCTAAGACTGAGGTAATCCCCAAGACTGAAGCGATCACTATTTAATTCAGTTTAAACAAGCATTAACTTTTTGTGGCAACAAATTTACAATTTTCACATTGAACTTGACGCATCAATCATTATGACAAAAAATCGTGTGACTCTAATATCGTTATTACTCGCAATTAAGCTTACTGTGCAATATATTGGATCGCAATTATTCTTCAATATTCACTTATTCAACTGAACATGTTACAAATTATGATCAGAAACTAAAATCATGCGGTTTGCCATCTAATATTCATCTTGTTAATCATCAATTTAAATGAAATGGTGTTTGAGCCATTCTATCTCGTAAATCTGTTGCTCATGAAATTGTCTATTCAGTTCCCTAACTTATAACTACTCGTTACAATCTCACTTCCATTTTTCGGGGTAATTGAATGTTATCTCAATCCTAATTATATTATAAATTTCATGAATTATTATCGCCCTTATTGCATGTTTTCCAAATCAGTATTGATTAAAATTGAAAATAAACAAAAATGTTCTAAATTTTTGAAGATTTCATTTACTAGCAAAATTTTACCGATTATGGAATCAATGAATTTACATGAACCTAGAAAATTTTGTTGACTGAGTAATTGTACAGGTAAGCTTGTGCAGTACGATGAAAATAATGAATAAATTAATTTAATGTTATCTAATTGGAGAAAAGAATCACAGTTCATCTTTAATAGTATTACTAAAATCCTTGGCTTCGGTTGGTATAACAAAGACGCCTTCTTTGGCTTCCCAATAACTAGAACCATCAGGATAAGATGTTGCCACCACTTCAGCTTGGCCATGAATTGGTCGCCCATATGTTCGACCTGATACACCCAACCATCTGTTTATGAAATAAGAGTTAGAAATAATCGTAATCCAATCAAAGAATAAGAGTTTTGCAAATTTGAAAAATACTTACGCCTCTGTGTCGAGATGTTTGAATCTTATTGAGGAATCTCTTTCCCAAAAATCGTCACTACAAACAACTGTCCAATTATCACCTGAATCACCTTCTCCATTGTCTCCAAAAGCACTTATCTCTTGATTACCGGATAATGGCGATTTAAATAGATGACTATGCAAATTTTTTTTCGTAATAATATGCTCTAAGCGTACTTTGGCTCCACAAGCGATAGGTTCCCCTCTTTTACAAGGCTCATTTACAAGACCTTTAACAGACCAGTAGCTGTTGACATCATCTTTCTCTGATGTTCCAGTAACAGATTGTTGACCACTACCAGAACCATATTTAACATCATGGGAATGAAGTCTGACTTGGAAATTTTTGTTGACCAATTTCACAACTGATCCGCAAGTGACATGAGGATATTTTGTTGCCTCAGACACTATACTGTCACTCAGAAATAACAAAAGTACACAAAATTGAGATAAAAATCCTTCCATGGTGACTGTTGAAAGGGAAATTAATAAAATGCAATTGATTAATATAAATTATATTTTTGAAATTAAGTTTTAAAAATTCTACACTCTACCGGTTCATAAAAATTGCAACATGCATTGCATTTATTTGTTTATTGAAGAGACGATAAATTTGTATTGTCAAAATTGATTGACATGACAATTTGAGGATTGAAAACAATCTGATATAACTAACGAATTGAAGAGTTGTTACAGATAATCTAAGTATAATCCTTCCATAGATCGTCTCAACAAGAATGATAGCCGATAGAGAAAAATAAAATAAAAAACAATTGTCAAGCAATGTTTTTACTCACCTAAATGAAGGGTTTTATTAGCAAATAACTACAGTATAAAAAGTGGATGATTTGGGTATTGCTTGCGTTAATTTAAATGCAAAATGACATCAGAAATTATTTCAAACAAAACATTATGATTGACGTGTTTGACAATTAATATCAGTTTAAGTTTAATAAAAGCCAACAACACGTATGTTTAAGAACATTAATTATGTTTTTTTGTTTAGGATACTGATATTCCAACGGTAAGTACTCGATAAAGGGAGCAAATCCAAAAAGATACGGAATAACCAACCGTGTACAGGGAGGGAAATACGAAAATCAAAAAGAGACAAACAAATGAAAAAAGAGGGAATTTATCATTTATATTGTTCCTGTTATTTTCTGGGGTTGTTAGTGAGTATTTCCAGATATCATTATTGAACCTTGCTTCGATTTATATTTTTCCGTATTAAATTCTGGATCTTTGGCAAGAGAATTAATTTTGATTAATCTCCATTAATTCAAGAGAATCAATTTCTAACAGAGTTTATTTGAAAATTCGTGAGCTTTGTGATTATCATTTTCTCAGGCCAACTTAATCTTTGAGAAACAGGGATTTACATGCTTAGATAATTTGAATATTAATTTTTATTTAACAATCGTAAGTCTATTGACTTTGGTTTAGTTGTTCATTGATTTTATTTCTTTAAGGGTTCCTTTAAAAATTACCTTATAAATGATAAAGTTTTATGAATTTAAGGTCCATGATTCAGATTTACCTTGTTTTTGAACACAAATACAAGTTAATGAATATTTTTGCGAATGAGTATTCAAATATTAATAAAATGAAAATTTGGTCATTTGGACTTGATTCAGTTAAATCAAATTGGAAAAATTCGTTCACATTAATTTTTTCGATTTTCCTGTTTCCTTAAATTCAACCTACGCTCTTGGCAATTTAAATCATAAATATTTGTTGCTTATATAATTTTGTAATGATTTGAGTGAATCATAACATACTAGTTTCACTTTAATCAAGTTGATACGTTGTACAAGTTTATCTTGAAAATGAAAAATATCATGAGATAAGAATAGCAATAGCTATTTAAAGTTTCAAAATGACGATAAAAAATATTTCAAAATAATGATTTTTCATTTGAAGCTTCTCAGAGAAATGGAAATAAGTTAACTTCGCACCTGATTGATGCACACTCGTCTTGCAGTGATTCACATTATAATTTGTAACATGGACATTTAATGCAAAACATTTGACGATTACCATCAAATCAAATCAAGCTACAAACTTGGTGCATGCTTGAAATAAATAAATCATGGTAAATAAGTTTTTTTAGCGATTTTTAATTGTTTTGAATTTATGAGCAAATTTCGAGATTGTTACATGAAATTTGAAAACTCAATGGCAATAGTATTTTGGTTTTTGTAAGTCAATCCTTAATATTCTCTGGTCAATCTCAACAGAATTTTTTAAGACTATATTTTATCAATCAAGTCCGTCTAAGTGTGATTGGTAATGAACAGGTGTACCAGAAAAGGCAGCGCTTTCAAAAATAAAATTGTATTGTTTATTTTAAATTGTCTAATCAAAGATGATTGTTCATTAAGAGGTAACAGATATTAGATTATGACAAAATTTTCCAAACGTACAAACATTGGGACAGTAATCAGCTATCATTGTTTTGTTGTTAACTTTCTTTAAACACTCAATAATTTCATTGTATGAGGAAATGGGTGATGAATCAGAAGATTGCGCTGGTGATGATATCGATGAAGAGTTGATGTTAAGTTTAGATGGGACAACACAGCCAATTGATTCACTTTTCAAGCCAATTGATTTGATATCAATTGGAGATTCAATATCATTTGAATCCAATGGACCCTTTGTGATTATTAATTTATCAAAATGTTTACCTTCCAAAGCGAGTCCAGTCTTAACTGCTTCCCATCCTTCAGCAAGAACTGTAATTGATCTTGAATTGCCACCAAACAATTGAATATTTTCTCTAATCCAATCAAGAGCAGCTTTTGTGTCATGATAGATTGCCTTCTCCGACGAATCATTATCGCCATCTTGAATGCGACTAAATGAACCCGATCGATAGTTGAAAGTAACAACAACAACATCTCCTAAACTGGCCAACATTTTACCATTGATTAGCCTGATGTCCGTTGCTTCATGATTCAAATATACCAAAACTGAACGTAATTTGGCTGATTTAGCTGGTCCTGGAGAGCTCATTGAATCCTCTGGTGACCAAATATTTAAATATAAACAGTCTTCACTTTCATCAATAAATTCAGTTCCCTTTGACTTGGCATTGTATGGACGATCTAAACAGGTACTTCTATAGTTGCCCGCATAATACTGAAAGAAATTGAAACTATTCAATGGCGATGGTGGACGGAATCTTAAATTTCCAAGTGGTGGCTCTGCATATGGAATACCCAAAAAGGTGTTGATACGCTTTCCCTGGAATTCCTCTTTGATTCCTTCAAGTCGACTCCATCTGGTTGATACTTGTGGAGGGTCCCAACCGCAAATAATTAATGGATAAATGTAACACAACAATTGATACATCAGTGGTAGTGTTGATTAAAACCGCTTAACACAGTTCACAGTTCACAATTATAAACACTAAATGGTCAAATTAAATTGGCGAATATAAAAAAATGAAGGAAAAAGTCAAACACAAAAAGGAGACACAATTTTCCCACCAGCTTCACTTAACGGTCGTTATCTCGGTAACTCTTTTGTTTTTGCTTCAACCAATGAAAATTGTTCCTTTTCCAGTCTCTTAATGTCTCTGGTTAATTTAAACAAATATAAAGGTTGTCTTGACGGTTCTTTAAAATAAACTCTTAGCAATATTAAAAAAGGTTGGTTAAAAAAGTGAAAATTGTTGTTGATGTTAACCGTACAACTTCAACAATTAATTTGAAAGGATCAACTTTGCAGTTAAATGGTTTTTAATACAATCTACTTTTCCATTTTGTCCATCCAACACAAACCTGCCTCCCTCCTTTCAATCCTCCTTCAATTTTCATCCTCTTCTTACTTTACAAACTATCTTCTCTTTCCTTCATTTCATTATCAATCTAACCACCTTGTCATCTTTTATCACCTTTAACCATCTTTAACATAATCATCATCAAACATACATTTACTTGCATTTTTCATCAACAAACTGGTTTCTTTTTTTTGTTTCACTTTTCATTTCACCTTTTTCGGCTACTCTTTTTTTGCTCCTATTAACAACAATGAAAAAAGTAACAAATCAAATCTAATCAATTTTACAGTTACATCAACACCAACCATTCCTTACTCAATGATGGGCTCATTTCTGATAAACATTAATTGTAATCAAGATTAAAGGTATTTTCTGGTCCAACAACACTTACAGCCTTTCAAAAATGTTAAAATGTAATAGATTCAAATTGGATTTAAACCTTATTGCGGGATGCTAATTTACTTGTAAAGTCTTCAATAATCTTGATGATCAGATGATAACAGTTCCAGAAGTTACAAATTAACTAAATTTTCATCAAATGAGCGTCAAATTACCATAAATTTCTCATTTTAGTTGCTATCAGATTGATTTATATATTTCATTGATCACTACATAGTTGATCAACAGTGATACATATGATTAGTTCAAAGCCTAAGCTCTTCAATTGGCAAGATAATTATCAAAAGGCCCTATTTTTAAGATGCACTGTTTTACTCTAATTCAAGCCTGAAAATCAAATATAATCAACGAAAACCTGAGTACATCAATTCATTTTCAAACTCTAACCAAAGCCCAAAAAAGCTTAAAATCCAGTTGCAAAAAAATTGAAAAAAGATGAAATAGAAACAAACCTCTGATAAAATTCAAGATATTCCAGTTGGCAAAATTGAAGGGAATCCCCATTTGCTCCAAAGGTAGACATTTCAACCAGGGAACTATTCAACTACAATTACATAAATCCAATAGACAACTATTGCAGGTCTATTATCAAATATCATTTGATCATGAGCAATTATTTTAATTTTGTGCTGTTGGCCATTTTGATCAATTGTAGTAAAAGCGTGTTTCATTGACTCTTTACATAACTCGTTCATTTGATACCAAGCTTCATCTTCAGTTAATTTTTTCAATGTCTTTTATCGCATTACTTACTGACCTTTCAGAAGCAAATTTCAAGGGTTTCCTTTAAATTTTGGTTCCTCTTTGCTTAAATTCATCAAAATTATAACCATGTTAACCTTGATCTAAAATTGGATCCAATTTTGGGTAAAATACAAATCTCAGGAAATATCAATTAGTCTTCCTAACCGCAGCTATGATCTTGATTAAACCATTTAAAACGTGTATTCTTCCCAAAGTAAACCTGGAACAATCAAGGTTGATCAATCTGAATTTATTATGTTACCTCATATTTTCAAGTTTAAGGTAAAGGTAGGAAAGGAAGTGAGAGTAAAGTTAGCCTCAAGCCAATGAACTTGGAATATTTCAATTTTATCAACATTTGAAATTTACTTTAAAGTCAATCATCATAAATATAGATTAAATGTTGCAATTTAAATTGGGCCAATGGTGAACCATGTAATTAATTTTGGGCTATGAAATAACAAGTTAGAAACATATCAAGTCTAAAACTTGAAGCAATTGCAATCATTTGTTTTCCAGGTTTTTCCGATTTTAGTTCAATTTTTTGTTGCCAAAGAAAATTGTTGTCTTATTTTGATTGCGTTGATTAAATAATAGCATTTCATTATTTACATTGAAACAATCAAATATAGTCGAGCCATTTCAACAGATTCAAGTGATCTAAATATCTAAGCTTAAATATCTTAATGATACTTTAACCTTTTTACATGTTAAAATGGTCCATTTTGTATGATTGAATAGATTTTTTCATTTCATGAATTCCCCAGTTTCCAATCAACTGAAATAATTTACCAACAAAACCTATTGTAATATCAGAAAAATCGTACTTAGTCAAGCGTTATTGAACAATTGAAAGCTTAAAATGGCGTTAACCTGGTTTATGCAAAAGTGTTGTGAATTAAGATGATGTTATGCTTTTATTTTTAAATTAATGGACTAATTGTATTGATCAAGGTTATGATGTTCAATTGTTTCCATTGAACTGTTTGCTTAAGCTTTTATTTGCAATGTAAAATCATGATTAACTCATGTTTGAAAAATATAAAATCAATGGAATCCCTTTCGATGAAAAATGTAGATGTTTCATCAACTAGATCATCCATTTTGATTTGATGGTTAATGATTAACAAATCACTTCCTAGTTTCCTGGTTTCTCAAGTTCAGTATTACGTGATTTTATAATAGGTCAAGGTAAATTGTCAACGAGACTGAATACAGAAGTTAATTTTGATTTTGACTTTCATCAAACAACAGATCAATTGTCAATCAATACTAAACGACTTTAATGGTTTGAGTGTTGCAGTTCAATCCCTTTCGTTTATGAAAATAGTAAGATTTGATTTAATTGTTTCAGGCTATTTTAATGAAGGTTAAATCATGTTTCTTGACTTACTCTGTTCTAGGCCAAGATCATTGAACGATCAAAAGACATTATAATGCCCAGTGAAAGTGTATTACGAAAATTAAGTAACCAGTCTGTTGATAAAATGTAATATGATTGCCATGAGAGACAGATTGTTATGACCATAAAAAAGTAAGTTAAGGTTTGCTTCGATTGATTAGTCCTTAGGCATTTGTTTTAGTATGAAATTAACGGAAAATGGAAAGGAAAAGTTGATTGAATAAATTAAATTTTCACATTTTCCTCTTTCCTTTTCCTCTTGAAAAGTGATTGAAACAATCAGGAAGAAGATCGTGATTTGATTTATGGGCATAAATTTTGACCGATTATTACACAGTCAGTTAAAACATTACAATTTCATTTCACATAATCATTTACACTTTGTTGTAATTTAAACGAGTAAATATTATTATAACTTTGAACCTTTCTTTTCGTTATAATCAATGAGTAATCAAATTGTTTCATATAAATGGTTCAGACCTGTCAATCAGTTAATATTTACGTTATTCAAGCAAATGGTATTGTTTTTATTTTTTAACCACCAATTTCAATCGATCTGCTTAGTCTTTTTGATCAATATTCAAGTATGAATAAAAGTAGATTGTTAGATTGAATGGGTGAAAATACAACTTAGTTAAAGGTTGTTTACAAGTTAACATGGTTTCAAGTTTAAATATTTTAACCATTGTTATGAATCAATTAAGTATATAATCATCTGTTGATTATTTTGCTCAGTTTGGTTTATATCCATTCTACATTGTGTGTCATTAATCCTACAAATGAGGTATTATGAGAGATCACAGGTAAAGAACGCGTCCATTTGTGTAAATGCAAACGAGAACAGAATTCTAATCAACTTAACTAGTTTATCGATAAATGAGATTGAAAAATATTGCAAACGGTGAAAATTAATTAGTGAAAAGAGGATCCTTAAATGTCCTGAAGATCAATGTTACAAAAAATACTGATGATATATATATATTCCTAACCATTGCGTAAATATTGACTGATTCAGAATTGATGAACGGGTGAAATTACATTATTGATCATCTTTCAAGTGACTCTTTCCGCAAAAATTGTTAAACAGTTGATTTGTTGTTTATTGATCAAACAGGCTTTCGGGTGTAAATTTAATTTGGTAAAGTCCAAAGTGTGGCTGTCCTGTCCGCGCTTGTTGAGAGGAATGTGAAATCATTTGGATGCCAGCGTCCTTGAATTACTTTGTCCGAATGTTCAGCGACAACAATACTGGGTAAAGGCTGGGTAAGGTCACCTTGTAGATCGGTGAGAACAATCTTATTGTCATAACCTCCAGTCAAAAGGTAATAAGCTTTGGGAGAAAATCGAATAGTTCGAACTTCAGATGAATGAGGTCGAATGGTTTGGATTATTCGTCCTCCTCGGATATCATATAACATGCAGTTAGCATCTTCATGGCCAGAAACAAGAAGTCTTCCTGATGGATCAACGCAAACAGCTGAGACAGCGCTTCCTATTGACAAGAAAATTAATAAAATTTAGTAATCATTGTTGTCAAGTTATTTCTAGAAACAATGAATCATGCTTTAAATATTACTAAGCAATTTCGGTGTATCGACCAATAACGTTTCAACTATATTTTGAACAATGAAGGAAATAAAAGAACCATGAAACTGAATAATTCATATTGAAATTCAAAACAAGTTCAACAATCAGCTGAGTTTGAATTCTTATATTTTAATAACTCAGCTTAGCCTAAGATTATTCTGATTAATGTTTATATCTAAATTAGCATTAAAGTAATCAACAAAAATCAACCTTTTGTTATTAATGACAAGGAAATTTGCATAAAAGTCATTTTACAACTGTTTAAGTGGATGGGTGCGAGGGAAAGTTTTTGTGACAAATTTTTGTTGATTAACTTTTCAGAAAAAAGACATTTACCGGAGGGTAATTGTTAACACACAATTAAAGACAGTAAAGGTTAAAAACAGTCAAAATATGGTAACAATTAGTTTCAGATATGTTGACTCCATTAAAAATGATCATTGAAGGAGAAAGGATGATTCCTGGTGATTGTATCAAAAAATTACAATCAATTATCTTATGTAGCAAGTTTCAATTTTTGAAAAGGTCTAAAATGCTAAAATATTTAAAATAACGATAAAATTCAAAGTTTGGGGAAAAACAGGAAATATTAATTCATAAACTAAGGTTAGTAGACAAGAACTCAGTCAAAAATGAAACCATAAAATAAACGCAACGAGGCGAGTATAAGTTTCTTTTTTATCTCATAAATTGAAACAAAAAATATGACTGTCACAAGCGAAAAAATGGGAACTGGCGATCAAAAAAATTGGGAATCAATACGAATAAAATCAGAAACATTTCAACATAGTGTAAGAATTGTAAGCAAAATATATCAACACCAATTAAGTTTTGAGGATAAAAAAGGCAAACAAAAGTATTCAAGTGAAACCATCTGAATGGATAAATTATGCTGTAACATTTCAAAAACTTATGTGATGAAATAGTTATTGTTGAGTCTTGAAAGTGGACTGATAACTTGAGCTTGCAAGAAGAAGTTAAATAAATATCAAACAATGGACAGTAAAATTATAATAAGAAACTGAAATTATGACACTGAAACAAAATGTTTTCTAACCGATAACAATTAACGAAATGAACTTATTTCCGATTGATAGTATCTTTTGATGTGAAGAAAGTGAGAAATAAAGGGGAACTAATGCTGAAAATATTGGTATAATTTGATTAGTCTGGAAACATACTATTAGCTTAATGATGCATGTAATAGTAATACAAAACTAAAACGAAATTGAAAGACTTATGCAGATTCGGATGGATAAGAAAACGGAATTAAAATAGCAGAAACACAAAAATGGACCATTTCAAGCTAATTGTTGCAATTCTAGCTGACTAAGGTAAAATTAGAGTTAAATTCTAATCAGGTGAGATTGTATAGCGTTTTGGAGTAGAGAATGGAAACATTTCGAATAACGAAGATAGCACATTTTTCTGTGTGATCGTATAATTTGAAGTTTTCTTAGTAGCACGGTCAAGTAACTGGATCATTACCATGGATTGATCCTGCTGCTGGTGGAGCAGTGATTAGATTAACACATCCTCGAGTTCGAAGATCCCAGAATCTAATGGTTCTATCCTGTGATCCACTAACGAACATTGCACCACCCCAAGTATAAAGAGAAAGGATATGTCCTGAATAAAAAATAGAAAGTCAAAGAATTAAAAGCATGTCAAATTACATGGGAAAAAATTGTTCGGAATAAAATACATACCTGAATGACCCGATAATGCCTGGAAAGGTGTGGCGGTTTCACAGTCTGTAATGTAAATTTTACAGTCACCGGCACCACCAGAGATCAATAGATTGGAGCCATTGGTCAAGTCTTCCATAAAGCAAAGATCTCGGACAGTTCCATCATGCATAGTAAGCTCAGCTTCAGTTCCAACAATATCACATCTATCCGCATCAAAGCGCATCAATTTGATAGTTTTATCATTTGATCCAGTAGCAAGTAAATCTCCAGAAGAATTCCAAGCCAAACAATAGATTGATCCCTTATGGTGTTTGCATCGCTTGAAGAGAACAGTTGGCTGATAAGGTTCATGACCCTCTCTAAAAAAATGCAGAAAAAAACACAATTTAGCAAAGTTGCGAAACTAATAACATCAAAAGAATTTGATTTAAAAAATATAAACCAGTCAAACAGTGAGACTGAATATCTCAGCTAACTGGACAACTTGCTTACTTTATTGCTCGAAGTTCATTGCCCAATGGATATGAACAAACTCTTAGTGTTTTAGAGTTAGATCCAATGGCATAAAGTTTACCGTTTGGATGAAATTCAGCAGCTCGGATAGCTTGGGCATCCTCTAACCGGGTAACTGGAATAAACTGAGCTTTTTTGTCACTGTAAACTGTAGTCGTACTGCTTGAGAGACTTTTGTGTCCAGGTCCATGCTGAAGATGAGACAGAAAAAAAGATAGAGATATGGCAATAGATTATTTGTTATTAACCACAGTGAAGATTACAGGTAGAAACAAAAAAAACAATTGAAAATCACAAAGTTGACACCATTAGAATCACTTTTGTAACCAAATATCCAAAAATCCTACCTTGGTACAGTGACATTTACATCTGACAGTCATTTTTGTAAGTCAAAATTTGACTTTAGAGAGAAGCTTATTTTCAAAGCTAAATTTTCTTTAAAATACAGAATTAGATAAAATCACATATGGAAATCACATTTTTATAGATGATTGTAGAAAGATGAATGTAAGATATCTTATGACAGGAAAATCTGAACAATTCTAAGATTGGTTGATATGTGAAGTGAAGATGGTGAAGACATGGTTAAAGATGACAAAGAAGACAATAAGCATTAAACGGATAGACAATGAATTATTTCACAATTATAGAACGAAAGATTAGAGAAAAATAAAGCGAAAAGAAAGACAGATAAGTGAATCAAAAGATGAACTGTTTGAAAATAAATAAAAGTGAATATAAAAATGGAGCGAAAAACAAAAAAAACAAAGATGGCTGATCAGTGAGTCAGTTAAAGGAATTGCTGATGATTAAGAGGGCAACACACAATAAAAAGCAAAAATAACTGGAAGCTAACAATTAGTCTATTAGATTTAAGGAAACCAAGCTAAATTGATTTGGTCATGGTTAATTTGCAAATTTCAACTCTTTTTTATCTTCTTTCATTATTGATATAATACGCAAATTCATGCAAAAGATGAAAGCGGGAAAATGAGGGTTGGTTGAAGCAATGATCATTTCAATAATACAACAGTAGAAAGTGAAAAGTGTGTTGTTTGATTGAATTGAAAAACGTTAATTGCTGGTTTCACAATTTAACTATGCTTTTCAATTTTCATCATACCAATTTTTACTCTAAAATTATCAGCATCTAAAAAAATGGTTAACACTATGATATTTTTCATGCCATTTTACATTTAAAAAATTCAGTTTGAAATAAATCTATTTTTAGGCGACAATAAGAGAGTCGTAAATTTTACAGTAATCAATTTACTTGCACTTAATTAGCTACTCTATAACAATGATTTCAATTGTCGTAATTTCATTTGTGATTCAAAATTGAAATGTTACAATTTTCATTTTGAAATAAGTTTGACTAGATTTGGTCTGTTTGACTATAACAAACAATTAGCAAATTGTTAAATGTAAAGAGTTTGTTGAGTTTAAGGGTTAGAGGGAAATGAATATGAAAGGTTGATGTTGGTACTTTTGTTGCTTACAAGTTGTTAGGTAAATGGTCAACTTACAGAGTAAATACTTCGATTACTGAAACTATTTGAATGAAGTGGACACCCATCAGAATAATAGGAAGATCTTGAGGTGGCCTTTGAACGGATATCATAAGATGATCCAGGTCGAGATGAATTGAGCGTTTTATTAGACTTGTAATCCAAACCCATGAAATAAAAGTTACTATGTTGAGGTATAATTTCATCTTGACGGATCACGGGTCGACGATAGGCTGAATAGCTTCTCAGACAATCCATCATATTGAACGGATTTATAATCAACAGTTAATGACAATAGTCAGTGATCACAATTTAAGCAATTATTAGATGAAAGGAAGGAAATGAAACCAAGCAATCAACTCTTAAGATACACTTAACAGAGAGAAAAGGAAAGGAAACTAACTTTAATTGACAAAAATTATTCAAGTCACATTGGGATGATTAGGAATCAATGAAATCAATGTATATTATCAAGGGAGGTAAATTGGCAACTTGAAAACCAACTGTTATTAGCAACAAATGACACAGAATGTGAGGTTTACAGTGAGTGAGTTGATGGTGATAATGTTATGATTATTGTTGTTGATGATGATGAAATAACAAGAGATGAAGATGATTTCAGATGGGATAACTGAACAATACTTGTTGTTTTACTTGAAATTAGTACTCTTTTTGTGGCTGACTGATTGTTCGGAGAGATGATTATGATGATAATGATGAGTACAATTACATTAATGTTAGCTTTAATAGACACAAGAGCAGGGAGAGACTCAGAGAAGTGATCATCTGAAGAGTGATTCTGACGATCAGGTTGAGCCTGAATGAGAATCACTCAAAGGTAATATAAAAAAATGTTAGTAACAAGGTAGAAAAACGACAAGATCATCCAAGAGCGTCATCATCATCATTATTAAAACACTTTTTTTATTGATGAGAGGGAGATGAAAATGGCTTGCAAATAAAAAAAGGTGTCAGAGGCAAGGTTAGGATGAAAAAGGGTGGAAGATTGAGGTGAAAATGATTTCAGTAAATGAAACAATTCAGATGAATGTTATCAACTACTGTTTAAAGCCCATAGTGATCAAGTAATGATGAAAATGATGAAAATAAGTGAAACTGTCTTTAAGGACTTCAAATGATTATTGATATCAAAAATTAAGAAAAGGTTTGCACTCAGTTTACTTGGTTAATTGTAAACCATTAACTTGTAACAATTGAAATAAACATGGTAAATCAGAATCACCATGAGTAGGCTCTTTTTGATACTTTTATTTTGATTGTATTTAGTCTAACAATCTGGTTTCTTGTATATTTTGTTCATTGTTGCTGGCTGGGTAATTTAGTAATTTTTCATTTAACTCACAATTAACTTCAACTGAATGAGTATCACAAATTGTGTGCTCATTGGATAACATAATTTATTTTGTGCTCAACAATTGTTTTCAATTCACCTTTTATTTCTAGCTTATAATTTACTCTGTTATAATTATGTAATTTATTATTAAGTGCAATTAGCGATGAAAATGTTAATCATTGAAAACATAATTACAAAATTGAAGGCTAAAAATTGATGTGATTAAGGTTAAATTAAGGTTGAATTGCTGATATTCACAAAGTCAATCAAAAAAGTCAAAAGTAAACAATGAAAAAAGTAGATAAAAATGATCGAAATGAAAGTGGCCTGAAATTTTGAAAATAATGATGAGCTGATCAGACTGATTGAGTCCTTGGAAAGCTATTGATTTAACAAGGGAAAATCAATAGTCAAGGTAATTAGCTGATTGTTAACTAAACGATGACCTTAAATGGGACGGAAAAGGCTTTAGAAAGGTAATGTAAAAGTAGTAAATATTGAAGTCTATTAGAGAGGTAAATATTGCAGATTAACTTACATGGCAACTTCGTAGTGAAAGGGTTGAACTACTCAGAACCGGAATTCTTGAATTTCGAAGATTGGAGAGACTAGAACAAGGTCGACGAAGTTTGATAGCTTCCTTCATGGGACAAATACGGAAATGATGAAGCGACAAAGAAGATGGTATTCGCTTGGGATTACTCATTACAGTGATTGTGGACATGATTTTACATGAATTGAAGAAACGATTTGCAAGAATAAAAGATTCTGAAAAATCTGATTGAAAATGAAAAGACTGGCAAAAACAAGAATAATTGGAAAAATAATTTCTAGAGAAACTTATCGGATATTAAATATTATCAACAAAATGAGCACGAATGAGCTTTTTTTGCTGCCTCCCTCATTTTTCATCCTCTCATTTACAAAGAGAAATCAAGAAATTCAAGAGGCTCATGATGAGGAGGGAGAGAGCAACAGAAGCAAAAGGTGCGAAACAATATATTGAAGATGAATAGGTAAATTGAGTAATCAACATTTTCAATGCACTTCAAGAGGATCTTTAAGGATGAAATTTATGAATTCAGGAAAGTATTGAAATGAATACTTGAATGGCTTTTTAACAAGCTGCAATTTTTACAGTGAAAAACTGATCTATTCAAATTAATGTTTTTTTCATGTTAATTTTTGTTTCACTTTGTATTGTTTTCATTTGAAAATTCAGTGATGCGGTGAAGATATTGATGAAATGGGGTAAATTGGAATCAATTGTTTGCTATTTACAGAGACTATTTAACTTTTAGGTGTGAAAACCTTGCAAATTTTTGTTCGTTTTTCAATGGACAACGATTTGTGAAATCGCTGTTTAGTACCTGAAGTAACCTTCACTTTTCCTCGAGTTGTTCAATCGATGGTTTTTGCATATTTACAAGTGTCTCTTCATTGTTTTAATAAACAACAGCGAGAAGTAAATATTTTATCAAACTGTCAACATTGGCTTTTCAAATGTTTTGCTTTTGCTGTACATTGAGTTTTCATGTTGAGCTATTCATGGACAGGAAATAATGTTAATAACGTGATGATTGTTAAGTTGATTGTTTAAGCTTGTTGTTGATTAAATTTATTCAAAGGCTATTAGTCAATCAATTGTAAACACAGAAGCACCTTACCAAATACAGCTGAAAGTTACGACCATCAAGATAATTGAGTTAAGGTAGGAATACATTTGTAAGGGTAGAAGATGATTTAAATTGTTCATTAATCAACTGATTGTAAAAAAGCATCATTCATTTGTTAACCTTTAAGTTAACAGAAAATGTTGCTCAATTGTAAAAATAAATTTTAAATTAGATTTAGTTTGATTTGTTTATACTCATTAAACAAGTGGAAACAATGAAATAACAAAACACTATCAATGTTAGGTTACAATGATGTATTAATAACAGAGAGGTGAACAATGGAAACCTTGTTCAGAACAGTGTTAATTGTAATTACACCGTAATGGTGACAATTAATGTTACAAAATTCAGAGTCACGCCAAGGTTAACCCAACATTTAACCCAAATTTTTGTCAGACAAGCTTCAAAAGTGTGTTTAATTGTTCAATGACCAAAGGAGTATTGATTGTATCATCGATTGACAATTGAAATTAATGTTATAGTGAAAAATAAGGCTTTTTGGTTGATTTAGCTGAAAATAAAGATTCTTGTTTAACTAAATTATGTTTAGATGGATATCAAAGTCAGTGGAAATTGAAATTTTCAGGATGAAAGCAATTATCACGTAACAATCAGTTTAAGGGTCAGTTTTTTACTTATTTTCAAGGTGAGCTAAATCATGATAATAATGGGCATGACTATGGGAAGATGAACAGATGGTTAGGAAATTGTGAACAATTAAATCGCTATTAGATGTTGCATACCTCACGATAGGGAAACACATGGCCAAGAAGATGATGATGAACGTGATTAAGATGGTTGCTTGAATCGTTGATGATTGGACGAATGTTTTCAATATATTCAATCTGAGGTTGAAACAAGGAATCAATTTGTCGCTTGGAAATCAACTCCATAACTGTTTCCAATCAAATCAGAGTAAATTGCTAAAATCACAGCAATAATTAATAGCAAACAAAAAAGATAATGATAATGTAACTGAATGAAAATTTGCACCAAAAAATGACACCAATAATTAGCGATTTGAGTTAATTTTAAGGAAAGGTTTTCTAATGGGTAAACTTTAATGCAGCTTAGTCAACAATCAATTGATTAGTACTTGTACTTCTCATCGGATATTTGAGTATTTTAATCAGCCCACTATCAAATAAACAGACATAAAAAACAAGACCTGAAAGGAGCCAAAAATATCATCCAAGCGCGTAGGATGACGAAAATGATGCGAGTTAATCTAATTACAATCAAGATGATGATTAAATGTGATGATGAGTATCAAGATGGAACACATTAACTTCTCATTTACGGATAGGTTTCATTGTTATACAGTTTGGACACGCAAAAAAACACTTTTTCATCTTAAATGTGTTATAATTTAATCGAATTGAATTACAACTAAGATTGCGTTCAAGTCTCGTGATAACCGCCAACATTGTCATTCGATGCCAATTTGTTCAGTTTATTTCAGTTTCTAGAATCATCTTTAAACTCACAATACGTCTTACCTTCATTTAAGTCAAGTGATTTGTGAATGATGGACTTTCGTGGGCCTAATCAAAATTAAATCAACAAGTTGTTTTCAATTTTGAAGCTATCAATAACATATCATAATATTGGTTATTTTTAGAAATTTGGAATAAATTTTTTCCATTATAACTCATTGTTCTTTGGCTTTTGGGTGATTTAGGCATTGTTTGTTGATTATTAATGAATAGCTCAATCTTTTTGATTTTGTTGATTAAAATATCATCTTTTTGAGATTCATAAAATAATTGCTGAATTAGCGTGAGGTTTGATAAGTCGCCAGTATTAAAGATTGGCATGGAAATGTGTTGACATTGAAAATGATTGAGTTTGGCTTTGGCTTGACATCAGATGCAATTATTATTCAGATCACCATTGAATTAGATTATTAGTTGATGAAAAATAAATTATGTCTGATAATTGATGTAACTTGAAGGAAGTTGAAACATGCAAATTGATTTTTACATTGAAAGTAATTGGGTTTGTTCAAGATTGTGATTTTCAATTTTTTCAATTTTTGAAGACATGAGTCAAGTCATTGTAAGGATCAGAGATTACTATAATTACCTTTAGAGATAATTCATTGACTGATTGTTCCTGTTTATCCTGTTGTTGTTGTTGTTGTTGTTGCTCATTTTCATGTGTAGGTTGAAGTGGTGACTTTTTATTGCTGTTCACGGAAACCATTAGGCTTTGTCCACGTTTTAAGAAGGGATTCATAGGAATAGGTGAAGATTCTGGAATAGAATCATATCTCGGTTTGAAAGAATTGGCAGAGCTTGGTGTTGATAGATGACTAATATTGGCACCAGTTAAAGATGAGTTTGAAGTTGATTGATGAATTGGTTGTCGAGCATGTTGACTCTGAACAAACGATTGACTATGATATTGTGAATCTTCCTTTAATATTGATTCTTCCCATAGTGATTTATCTAATGTCTGTTTCTTTTGTTTCTGAAATTTAACCCATAAATCGGGAGATTCGTTGATTGATGAAGGGGGGTGAATAGTGATTGGATTGGCACTCTTGGAACTAATTACATTCTTTGGCACGCCATTTTGAGTATCATTTGGTGATGACAGCTGTTGTTGCTCCTTTGGTTCAGAATGAGTTATTTTTTTCTCTGGTTCAGTTTGAATTGGTGATTTTTCTTCAATCATTGGCAATTTATCAATGCAACTTGAGCTAAACACCAAATCACTTTCAAAAAGTTTATCAACACCATTTTGATCAACATTTTTATTTTCAACTGAATTAGACTTTAAATGAAAACCGAGTCCAGCTATGGATGATCTGGACATTTCTGCAATCTCTCCAACTGAGTAAACCATTGGATTCCTTGGGAGACTATCAAGTAATCCTGAAGTCAACGATTTCGACATTAAATCGGATGCTTTAAGTCGAGTAAATGGTGTGGCAAGATGAGGAAATATTTTAGGTTTGATTGGCGTGATCATTATTACTTCGGACCAGGATGCAACCAATGAAGGCTTTTGAATTTGTTCAACATCTACGTTCAAAGTCTTCTGTTCAAAGGGATATGAAAAAGTTTCCGCAGGAATGCTTTGTAGCCATGATAAAAGACTAAGATCCCCGCTACTGAATCCACATCCTTCCAATAAACTACAAAATTTTAATTTGTCATCTCCATCTTTAGCTGCAAATGTGGCTTTTGTTTCACAAAATTTGACGCAAGACTCGTACAATATTCCTTTGATAATCAACTGTAATAACCTATCAGCTTTGGCTTCTCTAACTTTTTCATCGGGTTTCTTTTCATATGGTAAATATTTTTCAACCAGCGAGTAAATTGTGTTAAAACATTTAATCCGTGAGTTACTTGGATTCCAACTTTTATAATCAGGATGGTGTCCCAATGAAGGTAATGTCAACAATAAGCATAGTTCATTGTAATCCTCTTTGGATGGACAACATTTCTCCAGCTCCTTGAGACATTCCACGACTTCATTTACAGCTACCTCGACATTCTGATAAGGCCCCGCTTCAGACCTGGATGAAAGGTAAAGAATCATTAGTAAATTATTCAATTAGGGTCATTATAATGCATTTCTGTGAATTTATCAAAATCAATTATGAGCATTAGGATCAATGTCAATTTTCTATGTATTACAAGTCTATCACACAGTTTAAAAAATTCAACTGCTAATGTTTCGTATTTTAAATTTGGCTATGTTAACATTTTAAATGACACACAGTGGTATACAATCAAATTATTGAAATTAGCTGACCAAGAAATATATGATTGATCAATAACTGTAATCTCAAGAATATCTGAAAGCACATCATGTTAACAGATATTGATTATTAATTTATAGTGGAAAGATTAGGTGGGGTAACAGTGAAGAAGCATGCATAAACAATAACAAACCTGATGCACAAAAGCTCCAAATATTGATGCTTATAGAGACAATATTTAATCCCTTTGCCATCAAAATCAGGTAATATTTCAAGGGGCTCAATAAATTGTAGACAATCATCCCACTGACCATCTAGAATCAACTGTCTGAGAAAGAGAAGATCATCAGAGTAGAGACCATTGTGAACACCGGTCTCTCTTTCCAAGCTTAACTGGCTTATACTGAGCTCTCGATTATTGAGAAATTCAAGGACCATTCGAACGACATCTTCTTCTCTTAAAATGAAATTACCAATGTTAGGTGGCGATGGCATCAGGTCTTTTTGGGTATTTTCAGATCCAACCAACCAACCATAAAATAAAAACGGATAACAGAAGATCACAGAAGGTTTCTCTATATACAGAGATGAGAGAAACTAATGTAAACAAACCAAACCATGGTCAACCAAAGTTAATATGAAGATGTCATATTACATGTTTCCAAGCTGTGTATTTAATGGAAGTTGAGATTATCAAATCAAAGTAATCAATAAACATTGATATTAATTATGAACACAGGAAGGATTTAAATAACTGGATATAAAAATGCGAAAGAAGAGCCAAAAAGGGTAGTGTGACAGTTGAACATGAGATTTACTTGAGTAGACTCCTTGGGTTGAGTTGCTGTTATGTTGGTGGAGAAAAATTGGGAAAACTGTTTCTTGTTGATGTTGCGTGTTCTCCTTTGCTAACCAAATTAACAACATTAATAATAACAACAAAAGTACACAACAAACAACAGGTCTAATAGAGTATAGACAAGGTAAGTTTGATGTTTATTTCTTCACTTAAAAAAAATGAACAACTATTGAATAGTAAAATAGATATTAAGATAAAGAACAAGGGAGAGAAAATAAGAAAACACTGTAAGAATGAATGGAGAGCAATTAAATGAAACCGGAAAGATATTATTTAAAACAGGTAATAAGAGTTAATTTGTTGTAACCTTACCTTGCGGGTTTAAAATCATTAGTCTCGGTCAGACCAGGTCCAATCAATCTACCATAACAATGACAATGACAATTAAGAGCGACATCTTATAGGCCATTAAGAGTGAACAATTATTAAGATCATTCTCAATGGTTTATTGTCAACTTTGCTGGCGAAAAATATATTCAAAAATGACGACCTTAAAATTAAGGTTAACCCACACACAGAACTTTAGGATGACAGGGAAACAATCGAAATGAGATGAAAAATCAAGATGATTACAATGATTACAATTGATAATTGACATCCAATGAGTTGAAGTGCATAAAGATACAAAAATATTCACATTAGTTTATAAGGTGGATCCGTAAAAAGGCAAAAACAGATTCACATTCAAAGCTTATTTTAATTTGAGAATAACGAAAATTATTATTTTGGCCTCTTGACATTTTTTGAGGCTTTCGGTCATGGAAATGATTTCTTTAAATAAAATTTGTATCAAAACAATTTGAATCTCTTATTTTGAGGGTTCAATTGTCATTTAACTTCAAATATTGATGCTGAATATTTTTTTCCCTTAATATTCAGATGTTTTGAACTGCTGTTTGTTGTAACAGGTCAAGATCAAACCAAAGAAACCCTGTAATCAAATTGTTTGGGAAATTTTCAATAATAGCTACCTGGTTAATCAAGGTTTGAATCCAATCTGAACAAAAGTTGTTTTATTTGGAAGTTGAACACAATACATAATTTGTACATCTTCAATTCAACAATATTAAACAGGCACTAATTTTTACCATCAGGCGTAGGTGGAATCAGCTTGACCTAACTGCGAATTTCGGTTTTGATTCAAGTGAATGATTATACAGGGAAATAGAGTATCATTTCAATTGGGCAATTTACAGGTATCAATATAAGTTGACTTACAAACTTAATATCAGAGAATACGTTTCCCGAAATAACCAAGCTTTTGACATATTTTTTTGAGTGATTTTATTCAATTTGCTGTGCTTTTTTCTGAATCATTGGATTACCATCCCAGCTGAACTTTTATACCAAATTTTTTATATCTAATTTAATCACAAATGTGTTTGTAGAAAAATTATTACAGCAAAGATGAAGCATCTTAGCAAAATTTATAACCATATTGACCGAGTGATATATTTTTTGAGTGAGTTTAGTCCAGGTTGAGTCTTCGATAATGTAGGCGAAATATTCAGGCTAATCTGGCTGCAAAAGAGCCAATAAGTAGTGCCAATCCAGAGTGCTTTGAGAACATTTCTGTTATTTCTTTACGGGTCAACAGTCGACCAACGAAAGCGATTACAGCACGTGGATCTCCCAATAATTCAATAATGATTTCAGGAATACTAGTAACAATGGCTTTCATGAGTCCTTTGAATCCATCTTTTCGGTATGCTTCTTGATAAACACCTACTTTAGTGCACATCTTCAAAATCATCAAAAAAAGCAATTGCTTTATTGAGCCATGTGTGAGAATCAAAACTCTATGCAACCAAGGTAAATTTGTCTTGATATGTATTGCCAGTTTCACACAAAGCGCCGGAATGAGCGAAATTAACTTGACGGCAGATGACATCTGTAGAAGTGGAATGACATTAATAAGGAACACAACAACGCAATTGATAAGTCAATAATCATGGTGATATTCACAATGGAAACGAGTTTTTAAGATACTCAGATACAGTAAGACCAATGAAAAGACTACCAAATACATGTTTCCAATGGCCGTGAAAAATAAGTATAGAGACACTTTAGAGATTTATCAAAGGCTAAAATTTGTTACCATTTCCATTGGCATCTGAGATTTAATTGAAGAGCTTGTAATTTAATCGGAAATATTACTTACATTTAAATTCAGAAGGGGTGTTGACGGTCAATTGCTAAAATATTAAAAATAGTCCAAATGGATCCAATAATAAAAGGAGAATATTATTCACAATTAAAAAACTTTAACGCGAGTCTAACTTATTTTCTGCTCATAACTCTATGAAACCTTTAAAAAGACATGCCAAGTCCTACTTGAATAGGTATCTTAGCTTCAATTTATTTCCTTATTCTGACCCCTTCAAATCAATTTAAACTGTCATTTTCAAAAGAAACATTACAAGCATAAGAATCACAGCTAAAGCTCTTATTGATACATACTAGGTGAGTCAAAAGTCGCGCAAGTCTTTAAATCGCGATTGTGGGGCTGTCTTTTGGTTTTTTTGCACCAAATTTTTTCCACGTTATTTTCAGGCAGGGGGATTATGTTTTTCGCAATAAAAAAATTTTGACCTGGAGATGGACCTTACACCCTTGAAAGCGGGCTTCCTCAGGGTCAGAATTGCGATAATTTGGTGAAAATTTTTTTATTTTAAAAAATGAAATCCCCCTCAAAATTATGCATTTAGCTGAAAAAATTATGTTCCTATCAATAGCTGTTCAAAAGTTATAGCGATTTAAAAACTTGCGCGACTTTTGACTCACCTAGTATACGTGTATTCATACATTGCATAACAAATTTAAGTTATTTAAATTATTCGCGAGATGGCAATACTGTAGTACTGATAAAGGTTATACTAGTAACCATAGTAACCATAAGACTCGTAAATTACGATTTATTGATTGAACCAGAAGTCGAACCAGAATTTATTTATTCGATTCGGAATATTATAGTTTAGTAATTTCAACTTTAGTTATCAATCAATACAATAGTATATTGCTATTAGAATAATCTTGTTCTATAAATCACAAAGACCCAATGAAGCTGTTTACTTGATTTTTGCTTCATATTAATTTGAATAAACCATTGAATCATTACATTTCAACGGATTTCAAGAAAATAGAACGTAAGAAATGAAAGTAAAATCTTATTGAATAAACCACAGGTAAGCAAATCAGTCAATTCTCTACTCTAGCTCGATTGAATTATGGAATAATCTAATTAATAATAAACCGAGTGAGTGCATTTGAAGCAACATAACATTATGTGCGGTCGATAATGAAAACAAATTTGAGTCCATTTTGAAAAAAATGTGAAAAAGTTTTATTGTCGCTTTTCAAAGGGATTTTCAAGACGAAATCGCCGTAAAAAATGGATTAATCAAACATTTAAAAATTGTTTTTGCATTTTTGCAAATTCAACTGATGATTTGGCAAATATTTTTCAATCATCTTTCAATCAAAAATTAACAGTGGTTTGATATTTGAGACCTACTCTAAATGGAACGGAATAATATTCATTGCATAGTTAACACATTCTGTCAAATTAGTGGGCTCCGTGAACATTTCTGTTATTTCCTTACGGGTGAACAATCTACCAGCGTAAACTACTGCATTCCGTGCACTTCCAAATAATTTACCAAATATTTCACGAATACTTTCACCAACGGCTTTCGCAACTCCTTTGACCCCATCTTTTCTGTATGCCTCGATATAATCATTGATACAATTGGTAATCATCACACGAATGAATTCCCATATTGCGCCACGAATGAAAACTAAACCTCTATACAACCAAGGACAACTCGTCTGGATCCATTTCATCGATCTCACATAAAATGCCGGAATCGCCGTAAAAAAATTGATGACAGATGACATCTGTAGTTGTAGAAGTGAAACAACATTAAAATTGTAATGAGAAATCCAATAATCCAATGGATAAGTCAATAATTATGGTGATATTCACGAGAAAATGAGTTTGTAAGATACAGTAAGACCATTGAAAAGACATACATATCCATTGGCATCTGCGATTTTTTTGTTGAGCTTGTAAATTGGTCGGAAATATTACTTACATTTAAATCCTGAAGATATGTTGACGGTCAAATACTAAAACATTAAAAAATAGCCCTAATGAATGCAATAATAAAAGTGGTATCATTCACAATTGAAAAATTTTACATGTAAAGCAAAGTCTATTTCTGATCACAACTCTCTTATAAATGGTCAAAAGGATATGGTAAAGATTACTTGTTATTTGAAATCTTGAGGGTTAAGATGGGAACAGTGATATGGTAACTTTTGAGTAATGTAAACAAGTTAATTAGTTTTTTAATTGATCATTAACTGATATCATTTATTTTCTGCAGTCTAGACACTTCAAATCAACACAAGCATGTGTTAGATCACTACATTGAAAGATATTCATGAAGACGCGAGGTACTTGAAGCCGAGAGTCTTATCGGTCAAAGAAGAGTCGCATTAAATCAGAAACGCTCAAGCAACATTACATAAGGAATAGCTAGATAGACTAAAAATAGGCAAAACTCACTTTTAAGCCACTGAATCGGTTTACGCGATTTTTAATTAATATTAATTTGAATATACCATCGAATCATCGCCGAATTTAAAGGAAAGAGAAAGTCGAAAATGAAGATGAATCAGTCGATAAGCAGATCAGCAAAGTATTAGATTATTTCGATTGTTCTTGTGTTATACAACTCAATTTTTAGCAACGTTTATCAACACTGTAAATTAAGGAAAAAAATGATTTATTATGTTCTCCTTAATGCTAATCTATCCTGACATGAGATCATGCGAGTAACTGTTTATTTGATACACTTAATATTTGATAATTCAGTCTCTGCTGTTTTGTCTTGACTGTTTTATTTGAATTATTTGCTTTGGTTACTTTTTAGTCATGATCGGAAGCTCCACTTGTATAATTTAATCACTTACATGTATTATGGTGGATAAATAGAAACTTTTCAAACCGTAAAAAAGCGTATTTTATTGAAATTATATTATTTCAAATAATCTGAATTCTCAAAGGAATTTCCTGACTATTCAATGGCAGTTTGATACGTTTGCAGCTAAAAACTGTTATTTCATTGGTTTAATAATTTAATTTAAAGATTAGATTTTTAAAGTCCAATTTTTAGGCAAAATTTCTGATCAATCCATAATACTAGTGTTTTATCGTTCGGTTTACTAAATTATTTCCAATTCAGCTCTTGTCCATCATATCAAATTCAACAGTTATTTAACAACAATCATTATTGGATGCTCTGTTCAAAAAGTATAAACTCGATTATATTTTATATTGTGTTATTTATTTACATTTCTTGATATTCATCTCTTAAATTAGGAACTTTTTTAATAAATTTTGTAACAAAAAAGACCAGAAATATGCACAAAAGTGCATTGATTATTGCTATCAGAGCAAAGTAAAGGCTATAAAATGCTGACCAAGATTCCATGAAAACAGAAACTATCCAAGGATGAATTGATTCACCCAAAGTTCCGCACAAAAACATCAATGATGCCATGCTGCTCTGAACAGTAAAATATTTCTGTATAAAACCAAAAGCAAACGCAAAACTCGGAGAAAATCCTAAACTCATGAGAATAAATGAGACCCAGATAAGGGTTTGATTTGAGTCGCCCGTGTAACCCATAACTGCCGCTCCACAAACCATGATGGCAGCATTGAATATAATCAGGCTACTCTCCTTGAAGTAAACTGCCGCTGGAATCATGATTAATCGATAAATTCCGCACGAAGACCAATAAACAGTTATCAGAAGAGCGGCTTCTTGTTTCGTCATCTTAAGATTAGATTTGACGACAAATGCTGGTCCAAGTGCACCTTAAAAATAATCACAAAATCAAATCAAGCTTTTTTCTTGTAAAATTTTCATCATTTCTCGAGCTTCCAAAAAATGATTGCAATTTCTTTTAAATGTTCTGAGTTAATCAATAAATGACTTTGATGAATAAATTTCATTTTAAAAAACTATGAAGCACATTATTCATTATTTTCCTAACGACTATCAACTTTGTAAACTTATTTTGAAATATTTGTTGAAGAATCAAAAATGGTAAAAGATGTTTAATGGAAATGCAACTGCCACTTTAGATATAAAGTTGACTTACTGACTAAATTTTGAGCCCCGAACTCGAAATTGACGATCAATGCTGTTACAACAATGGCAACTCGATGTTTCCAGTTTAAGATTTGATTAGACGATTGATCAGTTTCATGTTCAGCATCTTGCTTAGGACAGTCCTTGGTGAATAGAGTTACAGTAAATAGGAAGCCGACTAGAACAAGGAAGAGACCCATAATTGCATGTGGATATTGAATGAGAAGATCATTTTTGGTGTAAATTTTGACCTCCGTTAGGTTGACTGAGGTCTGATTCGATTGGGCATTGTACTCGTCAGGATCCAATGGTAATAAAAAGGGTCGAGTAATGAGTGGTGAAACAAGAGCACCAATGTCAAAAAACATGTGAAGTGCTTGCAGATAATTGGTACTTTTAGATTTCCATAAAAAGCCAATGTAAACATGAACATCTGATAACAGTTAGCAAAGAATTGAAATGAGAAGTGACCCAAACTGATTTTGTTATTAAAATCAAATAAACATACAAATCTCAAGAATTCCAAATGTGATTCCAATGACCAGTGTGGCGATAAACAGACCGATGATATTTTCAAAGAACGGAGTCGCGATTAGAGCACATCCGAGTACAAAATTGGAAATTGTTAGAATCAAGATTTGATTGAAATACTTCTCAATGAAATGAGCTGAAAAGTTGAAAGAAAAATTATGTTGCATCTTTACAAGGTTACAATTTTGCAATGAAACTTACCTGAAATGGATCCTAAAATGTAACCCACTGATCTTATCTGGACAAGGTAAACGATTGTTTGGAAACTTTGGCTCGTCAAAATTTGATAATCAAGAAGTGAAGTGCCAAGCAGTGTAATTACACTTCCCAATCCAGCATAACTGGCAAAGCAAAGTAGACTTTGAAACAATTTAAATTTATTCACTTTTACATAGTCAACTAGATTAACTTTGGTATCCATTAGAGTCTAGTTTATCAACTCGTTTGTAACATAAACATGAACGAAGTTAAACTTGAATTTCAAGGCGACTTTTGCATTCTCAACCAGTTTCATCATTTGAAAACAGTATTCAGTTTTAGTTTTCACTTCAATACATTGGTTGAGCCACTGATTTGGCAATTGAGGAGCTTTAAATTATCTTACGATAGTTAATCGATAAGTTCATCTTTACATTTTGGGAAATCGCTTTAAAGTTAGAGTGTTCAATCCAATTGCTCGACAGTGTAAATGATTATACAAAAATGAAGATGAAATGATATACTCTTAGATGATAAGTTATTCAAATTGGATAAATGATCAGCCAACATGGAAACACTGAAGACCACACAGATACCATTTAAAATGATATCTTTATAAATATATTGGATTCGGTTAATGGTAGGTTCTGATGAGAGTCTGGTTCATGTTATGGTTTAATAATGCGATAAGCTTGTAATAAGACGTTTGATCAACTGTTTGTGGCAAATATGATGAAGAAGCTATCTTTGATTACGCATGAAGTTTTGCTTCGCTGGGTTACCTTGTATTATTAATTGTAATATAAATTAAAAGAGTATCACTGATTAAAAAGCACCAAAGATATTATAAAATAACATCTTTAATAATCAAAGGTTTGATTTAACTTGAATAATAATTAACTTTAGCTCGTAACTAGACATTAACTTGTTTCAGCGTAGCAATTATAAAAAACGTCATCATATAATACAAGCGTTTTTTATTAATAGTAAAATTGGTTGCGGGTATTCGCATATCGAATTACAAATGTATATCTTTATATCAAGTTTTTATACTTGATTTACAATATTTTCAATGAAGAGAAAGGGAAGATAGAAAGAGACTCGAACCCGGGTCGATACGAGCCAGTATGGTAATAAATATCATGAAGAATCAAATGTAACATTGAAAGCAGCCAGTTTCATCGGCGATATTTGCCAGAGATCAACAAGTGATAAACCAGATCTAATTGTTTGAAAACCGGTAAGAGAAGTTTCACTTAATTGTTTAATCCGATTTCTAGTAAATTTCTTTGCAAAATTGGTTGCACAAAGTTGATTATTATCAAATAATTGACGATTGTCTATACGGCAGGTAAAACCTGGTCGATGAACGATTATTAGACTTGAGTCGGAGGGTTTGTCAAAATCACTATAGAGAGGTAAAGATCTAATATTGACTAGATGAAGGTAACAAGGCATTGGGTTGTCCAAAAAAGTAAACCTATTAAGCAAAGGTCTTTCTTCGAATCCATCGTCTGCAAAAACGACAGGTGGATAAATTAAATGAGTTGAAAGATGAAATGATAGTTGAGATAAAAATGGTAACTCTGGAGAAGATGAAGACGATGATGATGTAGATGAGGTGAAGGATGAAGATGGCAATGAGGATGAAGATGATGAAAATTGTGGTTTTGTTTGGGTATCAGTGAAATCTTCAAAAACTAGAAGAAATTTCGAACGGGTCAATTTGTTGTCAATAATGGGTTCACCTACTCCCCGATAATCATCATTTAGTGTACGGCGATCCAGCATCATCTCAAGTGTACCTTTGGACGGGCTTGTAACACCACGAGAATGTGATGTCAACACTGTTAATCGACTATTTGAATCTTCAATGTAAGCTGCCGATGTCATTGGATAATAATTTGCAGCAACTCCAACATCAGGGACAAACTTGCGACGGAAAAATTGGTAACCATTTGAATCTGTATAAAATGTTGGATTATATTGCTTTGAACTTGAATCTAAATTGTCCAAGTCTGATGTTATCCTCATTATCAATTCACGATCTTTGAATTCTGAGTTAGCAATATTAAAAGAAAGATCAATCTCAAGGGCAGTTCCAAAGAGACCTTTGTCGTGGTACACACGAAAAGTTATGGTTATGCTATTAGAATGAGTGACAATGACTTCAGATACAATTTGACCCTTGATTAATCGGATAACAGGAAATCGATCATGGATATTCACAATATCATCATCGGCTGTTGGTTGAAAAAGGTAAGCTCCAGAATGAAAAGCTATAGATTTGTAGGCATGTAAACTAATATAGGTTGGATGAGTCCAAGAACCAGAAGAACTTTTGATTAGCTTTGGAAATCCTGTTGAATGGTCAAATAAAACGGTCAAATGAGGCGTATTAAGTTCAATATCACTTTTGAAAAGTTTAGGAAATTCAAAAATGCTGTGAAATCGTTTATCCCCTTTATCCTCCAATGATTCTGAAGCAATTTTTACACGCTTTTCATCAGATGCATCGCCCATGAGAAGATAGAGCTTAGACTTAGATTGAATATCTTGATCTTTGGGTAACATTGAAATGGTGTACGTTTTCAATGAGAGTGGAGGTAATCGGCTCATGAAAATTATCTCAAATTCTTTATCATCCAAATTAAGACTGTTATTCCAAACTGGATTGATTTGGAAGGGGATTGATGTCATTTGTTCTGCTTCATGTAACATGATAGCATCATAACGACATCTTATTGTGATGGGAACCAAAATCTCTCTTGGATGACTGTTAAATATAACAAGTTTTCGAGATGAATGATCAGGAACAGTGAGAGGAATATTGAGGATCGGTGAATCCCAGGCTGATTGCTGGACAGTGGGAAAAAGAATAGATGACTGGATTGTTTTCTTGGGACTCATAAGGTATTGTATTGAATGAGACATGATTTTGAAAGATTCGGTAATCGCCTGGTGAAGCAAAATTCCATAATCCTGCATAACAAATTCTTTAGATGTTCCTGTAATTGCATCATGATGTTGAAAGAGACCTAAATTTTGACGAGCTGTTGTTAAATATTTGTAGTCTTCTATAAATTTTTCAATGGACACTGAATCGTGCTTTTTTGAAGCAATATTTCGAGCTAATGAATATAATATTTCTGCACTTCGTAAATAATTTTCCAATGAACGAGAAAGTGATTTCCAAAAAGGTCTAGTTGTGTAATAACCAGTCCAGTATGATGGCCCAGCACCAGAGTAAATATCAGCATAAGGCATTAAATCTCCTACTAGTGACCAGTCAATTTTTTTACTTGGATTCCGATTACTTCTCAATGAAATCTCTTTAAAATAGTCATTTAATGTTCCAAAAGATATTTGTGCGCCATCAAATTTATCTGGATTGCTATTAATGTGGTCCATGAGGAGGCGAAAATTTTCACGTTGTTGGTCCCATTCAATGTCTTGGTCGTATCGAAAATCATCACCCAACGGTATAAGAGCAACATTATGAGAATAGAGTGAAGCAGTTCGCCCATATTGGTCTATTAATAATTTAGCTTTTGCAGCAACATTTTCGTTTGTGATTTGCTCGGATCGAGATTCAGAGACTTCACCAGCAATTTGACGAAAGTCAAATTGAAGACAAACATCATTCTCTGGACCACAGGAGTGCTTAATATTGTAAAGAGCGAATGGTGCGACATGACATAGGAGAGACCTCGTAGAAGATAATCGTGGCTGCGAAAAATCAATTGCTTGTTTCCACCAAAATTCGAGAGCTTGTTTTTCAGCTAATCTAGATCTCCATCCAAAATGAATCCGTTGAATATACATATTTCTAAGTCCTGATGCACTTAAAAATGCAGGATAAGTTCCACTGTGTCCGAAAGGATCGATAGACCAACTATTGTTTGGTGGTGAATCAAAATCGAGGTTAACTTTGAGCCATTGGTGACCTTCAATGAGCTGATCAATAATAGCAAAATAATGAGCAACAGCTTCATCAGGCATTACCCAGCTACCAGTTGTGATTTCCAGCTGTCCTCGAGATATTTGATCCTTTATCATTTGGCGTAGATTTGACGTGGGTGACAAATCTTTCCACCAACGAGCTAAATAAGAAATCTCAGTCCACATGAAAGTAAAGTCTCGATATTTGTCCAGCTTATCGACCATATTGTTAAGTATGCTTGAAGTTGTTGTTAAATAATAGTTTTCAAATGTTTTTAGCCAGCCAGGATCATTGTGAGAATGGGGTAGAATCAGTACTTTGAGCGGGTCGCTTGAAGAGTCCTCTTTACGTTTGAGATATCTGTTCTCGAAGGTTTGATTCCAATAGAGATGTAAGGTAGGCTTGAAATTGAGATTCTCATATTGCTCATTGGTTACGACTACTTTATCATTGAAAAGTTTCTCTTGGTTGATTGTAATACATCCTAAAGGAAGTAAAAGCAAAAGCGATAATTAATATTGGTGAGACATAACAATAACTAGATTTTAATTGTTTGGAGCAATCATCAAGCCAACAAGCTTGTAAGTTAATCATCAGCAAGAAAGAATATTATTGCAAAATTAAGCTTATGTGTACGAAACAAACAATAAAAGATACAAATTATCTAGTAATTTTCCTATTTATTTGGTATAATATTCAATGAGATGAATATAAAAAAGCTGTGATTTTAGATCATTCAGCTGGATAAATTTATCAATACTTATAAATTTGTCACGTTTAATCAAAATAAACTAATAGAAATGAATGGATGCTAGAACAAATAAATGATGAATGCGAAAATGAAAGGGAAATAATCCGAAATAATGATTGCTCGCTCATTGAAAAACATACCTTGAATTAGCGAAAAATTGGTACTTTGGACTTCATTGATCGGGTTTAACGTAGTCTCCTTAATGAAATAATCATTTTTAAACTCACTGGCAGTTTGATGGTGAGAAGGAAGTGGAGATGGCTTATAATCAATGTAACTTCTCAGATGATTAGGAACTGGACCAGTGCCCAAGTTGGAGTATAAGCCAATGAGAAGACATATTATTACAACTGAAAGTAGGAAAAGAAATTTCACTTTAAACCTTTTCATTAGCTTGATTAATTCCATTTGACTATTCTTATGATTGAGCAGCAAACCGTAGTTTCGGTTTCAAGGTGTCAGGTTAAAGAGCACATTCAAAGGTAAATAATGTACCCAGTTTTTCATTTCAATGGACCAAGATTTAGATTTTGAAGATTAAATTTGATCGCTGTAAGATAATATGGCCAGTTGATGAAAAAAGTATAGTATAGTAGAGAAACAAAAGTAAACAAAAGGACTATTTAAAATAAATTTTGCTTTGCTAATCACACAAGAGCCTGTCATTTGTGTAACGTTATCTGTGGTATTGTATGGGAGTAGAATTCTAGAAAATCCAGCATAGAGAATATTAATGATTGTAGTAATCACAAGATAATGAAGAATAGAAAGTAAAGATGTCACTTAATTACATCAATCATGTACATAAATTCCTTGGTTAACAATAGAGAAAGCATGGAAGGATTTACTAGCAAAAACACAAATCAGGATGAAAGGGTACCACAATATTTTACTGATAATGTGATGATGATTGTGAACTGTAATGCTGAACATTGAAACCAGAACAGTTGATTAACTAAGAAGCAACATGATTACAAGATTAAATGAATATTTGGATAAAGAGATTGCAGTAAAGAGCCAGGAAAGCTCAACACAACATCCCTAAAAGGAAATAAAAAAAGTATAAACAAAAAAGCTCCTTTTTTCTTTCTCCTTTCACATTCAAGTTATTGTTTTGATCTTACTGTAGCTCTTCAAAGTTACTGTTGTTAATGTTGTTTGACAGGTTGAAAAGCCGAAATAGGAAGTCAACATTCAATAGAGGTGGAGGAGGAGGAGGTGGTAGTGGTAGTTGTAATGGAGGTGGAGGCTAAATAGAAAGAGTGTCCCAGAGTCCGTCAGCTCACTCTTTCTCATGCTAAGCTGAAGCTTGTTTAGTAGAGTTGGGCGAATCCATTTACCAGTAACTCGATTCGAGGGTAAGTCTATACAAAACCTCTTGAGCTGACTTCTTATCTCTTCAAGTCTCAGCTAGCTAAGTCGATATTCACGCTGATCAGCCTAGGTCAAAGGGTCTTTGGGCCATCAAGGCTCTTGGTAAGAGTTGCAAATATGATTACTAACCATTGATTAGTAACCATAGTAATCATAAGGTCCATAACTTACGAGTTATTGATTGAACATGGAAGTGTAAACATAATTTTTTAATCAATTCTGTAGATGATTGCCTGTTAATTTCAACTCTAGTTATTGACCACTAACCAAAATATTGCTATTAGAAAGTAGGGATTAATCCTTGTCTTACAATCATTTTTCATTTTTTATCCTGAACACTTCAAATCATTACCATAAGCAATTAATTGTCATGTTAAACTGCTATAATCAAAGTATACATTACAATAATTACATTAAATTAGATAACGCTCTTATTATGAATATATTGCATAAAAAACGCGGAGGCATGATGTATATCATAAAAATTAGTAAACTTTAAATTGAATCTTTTTTTATTTTTGTGAATTAGTAATACTGGAGTGTGAATTGAATTAATATTAGTTGATAGGAAGCATAATCAAATAATTGTTCTTCCAAATTCCTCAAAAACCACAACCTAATCAATTCAATCAAGTGAAACATACGAGTAATCATGAGAGAACAACTGAAGTTAAAATACCCATATAGGCAAATAAAGGATAATTACGACAATGTAAGTTTTAAAGTCGAAATGAAAAAATATCAATCGTCTTAAAGCGTTTCCAGACGATCAGAAAATAGTTTGTAGACTTCTAAATGGCTTGGAATATTAGCATCAAAACAAAGTCCATAAAGAATGAAAGGAAGTAAGCATGTATTGGCTGTCGTGAACAATTGCAGTCTTCAGCTAACAAGACTGTCGCTTAGATGTGCCAAGATTGTCGCATAATCAAGTCAAAGTACATGTCATCGTCGATGGATGCACTTATTCCAGCACAATAGTCAATGAACTCTTCCTTGGTAACCTTTAAGATACAAAGATGAAATTATAACAAAATAAAGTTTACATTCATATCATTCAGTCACATATCATTAAGTGACTATCAAAAAGTCTAATTGAAAATACAAAATACTTACGATGCCATTAGTTGCACCATTCTCTTCGAATTTATTTATGAAAGTATTCAAGATTTCTTCTTCAGATAAAGCGCCATTTTGATATTCAGGGTCGCTTTGGATATTATATTTGTGTTTAAGATCTTCAATGGTTACATTACCATCTTCATTAGAGTCAAGTTTAGCAAATGCTTTTTCAATCAATGATATACGATTTTGACTCATCGGGGGCTAATAAATTAAAAAGATAAAAATATTTGAATTTGTTAAATTATTCTACGAAATATAATCTTCTCACGCAGAAAAAATTCGCTTGTGAAGAAATTAATAAACATGCATATGAGACACATTCAACTAACCCTGATAGCTCGCAAGAACTCGTTGTAATCTAGTGACCCGTTACCATCTCGGTCAAATTTGGTGTATAGATGTGAAACCTCATCATTTGTTAGATAAACGCCAAATTCTTGAATCCCTTGAGCAAACTCGTCTAAAGTTAATGACCTGTTCCCTTCAATATCCATTCGACGGAAAGTTCTGCAAAAAAGAAAGAAGAAAAGTTAATATTTTAAATACGAATTGATAACTATGAACAACAATTATAAGAAACTTACTTTCCAAAGCCCAAAATTCCGCAAGTACCACGTTTTAAGCATGCATATCGCAGCTTCTCGACTGGATCGGTTGCTTTATCCAACATTTTTCCAGCCTTTTCAGCCATTAACATTTCGTTTCGAGATGGTCCAGACATTGGTCGATGAGCCATTTTTACACTAGATAAGTCTAACAGAACAGATTATACAATATTATGAAAGATTTAGATTCAACTGAAAAACATGAGACGCACTGCAAAAGTATATATGACTCCTCCTAAATAGGGACCATTTAATAAATCAGGAGAGATACAGGGTATAACTAAAAACTCGTGGAGATAAAAGGAATTGAGATTAAAGTCTAGTTTGGTTATTACAGTGACCAGTCTGTATACAGGGTGCAACTAAAGTTCGTGTAGGAGGCAAAAAAATATTCCCCCCTCCGTAGAAACCAATTTTCATTTGTTTTGATTTCTCGTTTGAAAAACTGATTTCTTCTCATGAGCCCTCCTACCTACACGAACTTTAGTTACACCCTGTAATCAGTAACTGTGGCTCCTCCATCCCCAGTTACAAATAACCGGTTACATTGAGAGGGAAATTTGAAAAGAAAGTAGACAAAGTAAGGAATATATTTTCAAATATATTATTAGATGGCGCTGATGCAAGATGAAATGACATTTTTTATTTTTGAATTTGCCGATAATAAATTCGTAACCAGCAAGTAACCGATTATATTTTGGTTATACTAACCAAACGTATTTCACCTTAAAGCACCACAACCAAGAACCTCTTTTAATGCTCCTATTAACTTCTTATCTCTCCTCTCCTGTCTATAGCTCTCATTGTCATGATACCACATCTTTTCTTTACCAAGCTTATTTTTGCGAAAACAGCTATCTCTTTGAAACCAGATTTGATCCCATTCTCTAATCCATTCATATTTGGAACTAAAACAGGATAACTCACATCATGTTTCTTTTCAATTTGACTGTACACTTGTTTATTATTAGCCATTTCGGGTACCCATCTAGGTGAGACAAATGAAGTAAATTCAATCACCTTGAAACCACAATTGTTCAATCTGTTGATTAATTCCACTTTTGTAGATGTTTCGTTCACTCTTTTTTTCATTCTGTAGTCCATCTCGAGGTGCAACCTAAACAACTTTGACTGGAGAGTGGTAAAGCCAGTTTCATGGACGATATTTGCCAGAGATCAACAAATGATAAACCAGATCTAATTGTTTGAAAACCGGTAAGATAAGTTTGGGCGACCCTTTGTATTTGAAAAGTGATTTGGAAAAACTTCATGGTGTGATGTTGATTCAAACAATCTTGATCAACAACAGTCAACAATAGGAGGTAAATGTGAATACAATTCATTGGAAAAGCTCAGCGGAATGACCTCTCAGCGCCAAGTTCCTATTTTCAACTTTTTTTCTTGATGTTGATGTTGATTGACCTTGTTGTTTTATCGACTAGCATAAATCAAAAGTTAATTTGAAGAGCCCACTTATCTTCCCATCAAATTGCATTATAATCATCTTCATTCTCTCTATTGTTTTCAACCGATGGACCGATTATGAAATTGAAAAAGGCAGAACTTGTTTCAACTTCAATATAGATTAGCAATATCATACTCCAATTTTTTGAGGAACTCATTTTGCTTGAGTTGATTTGATTTTTTACCCTCTTTCACCTTGCAATTTTAGATGAACAAATGCATCAAATATTCATAGTCTTTCTGTTACTGACTGTTGTGAGATTTAAATCTCATTTACAAACTGATTTCAAGACTTTTATTGATCAAACAATCATTGACGCATATCGTTGTGCGGTACTATTAAGAAAGTACGGCATAATAAGCGCCTTACATATAATGTTATCGAGTCAATGTCAAAAAAGGAAGTCAAAGAAGTTTGCTCATACAATCAAACGAAAAATTTGAACCTAAATTCTTCCTCGTCTCTAGATTCAACTCCAAGATCTTCCCAAACATCATCGATCTTTCGGGGATCTCTTGCCATTGTTTTGGTGGCAAGCTTCAAATGTTTCAAAGCTGTTTCCAATCCTTTCTGCTGGAATGCAAGATTGAACCAAGGATTTGATAAAGACTTCCAGTGTGAACCGATGGTAACGTAACCATGTCTAGGGATGTAAGAAACATTGTTAGCTACAAATCGACCATTGGCGAAGAAACCAGTTGATTTGTCAGTTGAATACCATTCATTGTAAGAGGCTTGAGAGTAGACACCACAACATTTTCAACTGTTTACAAGCAATGTCGACTAAACACATCTCTATGATGGCTTTCTTGATTTTGAGTGACAATGTTTCGTCCATTTTATCAACTTCGACCCATTCAAAATCTCTGGTCACAGTATGATGTCCAGTGAATCAGTCGATTCTCTGATCTTTATGTAAATAAGTACCATTTATCATTGTATTACATTGTGCAACATATTTTGAGAGGTTGACTTTCAACTTTTCAACATGATGATAGTGTTGTAAAGATTGGTAATTCTTCTGAAATTCCCAAAATCATGTTTACAAAGTAATCAACTTAGTGAAATAAATCGCAGTTTACATATCATTTTCTGGTTCAACTCAACTAACCTTGACTTGATAGACCAGATGAAACTTGGAATTCTTGTCTACCGAGAAATCAATAAAACCAGATAAACAGGAACAGGTAAAACGCAAATTTTAACGCACAGAACAGATTTACATGATTTTTGTTTCCTTTTGACTTCATATTAATTTCAATTTATCACTGAACCATTATATTTCACAGGATCTACAAAAAGGAAAAAGTAAAAATGAAAGTTAAATCTAATAGATAAACTAGGGTAAGTAAACCAGTCGATTCTGTGCTTTAACTGTGGAAAGATTGTTAGCATATTGTATTACAATGTACATTTGTTAGTCGATTGTCGTCCATGCCCTACAGGAATAAACTACATTTTTACGGCAGAAGCGTAACAAACAAGTAAAAATCAATAACCATCACATCTCTCTCATCTCTCATCACACATTGTGTTCATAAATTATTGATACAAACCTTTTTTGCCCGGCGTAGTCTGAGCGAGCATTTAGATGTTAATTGTAGATAAAAATCTTTATCTACAGTAGACCCTCTAAAATTGTCATTAGCATTTTGGCTATTTTCTCGTGGAAATGGTTGCCAGAGAGGTTCAGTAATTTCAATACAGAATTTCAAATCATATTGTTAGCGTTTACATTGGTACGAAGATAGATGTGCGGGTCATTATTTAAACCTATCAATTAGACTACACTGGTTCCTTCAAGCTACACACTCAAATATTTAACTGTGACTTGAATTACAAAGAAAAAAATGCAGTTTGTTGAATGAATAAGGACTGATTTTGTCTGTAAGTATTAGTTAGTCAACCCAGAAACATGAATAATAATCTGTTTACTACATTTAACCTTCAATTTAGAGTCTGGTTCCTATGAGATTTTATTTATACCACATTTTTTATCACATTTACTCCATTTTTGAATGAACAGAAGTTCGCTTCACTCAGACTAATTATGAAAAAGAATTGTTTACAAGAATTTTCTGATTGCCAGTAAATGGTTATCAGAAGAATAAGTAGCAGTCATGCTCGAAAACAATTGACAGTTTTAATATAATCAACACAAATAAAAACAACTACTTTGATGGCTTCAACAATAACAGCGGTGATGATAATGATATGAACAAAGAGCGAGTTCAACTATTCATGGCTACCGTTGATTGACAGAGTGTATTAGATTAATCTGTGAACACAAATTGAAAAAATAAACTTTTTCTAATTTCTCGTCTGTCTAAAACATAAACAAAATGTTGATGCCATTAACAATAAAATCAAATCCCAATAATATCGATCCTTGGATCTTTTACTTTACCATCCATTAGCTGTGAGCCAATAGTAACTCTTTAAATTCACCTTACACATCATCGAGACAAACAAAGACCAACGACATTTTCCCTTTGTTTTTCATCCTTATCTTACTTTTTCATCAATATTTATTTCTTTTGTCCTTGTTAAGCCTCTCTTTTTCCATCTATTGCATGTGCGTTAGTCACTTTACGTTTCTTCTTTCATGAAATACAATTACATTGAGTTTTACCATAATCTTAAACGTTCAACAAATTCCTTTCCTTTTGTCTACTCTTCTTCTGCAACAAACCTTGACTTGTTAGACCAGACTTGAAAGTTTTCAACAAAACAATCAACCAGTTACAAAGATTCAAAACCAAGAAACCAAATTCTTAGCCTTCAAAACCGGTGTACTTTTTTTTCGGATTTTCTCATCGTTTGGTTTTCTTTTCTATTAAACCTGAATACATTACTGAACCACTCCGTTTCACCGGATTTGAAAGAAAAAGTGAGTAGGTAAGTGAAAACAGGGAGATACCAAAAAATAAGAATTGAATAAATAGAAATTCAGTTCATTTTTCATTTGCTGGTAAACAATACATTCTACATTCACCAGTTTCATTCGTAACAACACGTTCTTCAATCATTTTAATCTTGTTCTTTTCACCTGATAACTTCCATCATAAATTTTAATTTTAACATCAACAGTAAATTCTAGGTAAGTTCCATAATCATTAAATTATATAGTTGCTTGATTTAACTATTGTTTACAATATGTAAGCTAATAAAGGGAAGAAAGCTCAACGCTGAATGAGCATTATTGGCCAGTGACAACAGCAAAAAAAAGATGAAAAGGCTGAAATAGACTTAATAGATAAAGTTCATTCTAGTATATTTCTAGATATTTCATTCGAGTGTTAATAGATAAACACTAGAATGAAGTTTTAATTTTTGATTGTATAAATTGCTGTTGAATTTGAAATCAATTCCATCTTTTTTTGCTGTTATAGCTGATCAATAGTGCAATTGTGTTGAGCTTTCTGTCGTTTCTGGATAGACATCATTAAGCTATGCTATACTTTGCAACTTTCTCGCAATTAATATTTGATTCAACATATTCATTGATTTATTTAGTGACATTATCTGTTACTTTACAGTAATATAAGTATAGTTTATTACTTCGTTAAGATATTTAAATTTTAATGTTTTCAATTGATTCAATTCTTTCTATTTGATGTTGCAAAAGACTTTATTATTTTTAAAACTATTGATTGACCTAGATCAAATGTGACTCTTTCGTTTATTTTTATTGTGTAAATTTTGAGGCAACACAAAAAACAATTCATCTCTATCTATCATCTTCATTCAAACTTCATTCAGCGTAGAAAACAAAAATAATAAATTCGTTTCCACAAAAGGCGTTGCCATGTTATTTTAATTCGATAGTTTTCATCATCATGCCTGAACATGATTAATGAATTAAACTCAAGGATTTTATCAGTGTTATACAGTCTTTATACACTTATTTTGACATAAACAAGACTTGTCTGGCTTTCAAGAAAACTCGTGGACCCAGAATACTCGACAATGCTCATATCCCTGTCTGGTATTCAGGATGTTAGCAAGAAAATAGTCTCTGAAATTCTACAGATGCCCTCTGAATTCCTCATTTTTGTTATCTTTGCGCATTGAAAACTTTGGTTGAAAAATACAGTCAGTCATAAAAGATTATGTAAGTAGTGGAATTAGAGAAGACAAAATCTTAATATTATGTTAGATTGTTAATAATTCTGGCCAATTTGATTGTCATATCTTTCATAAATGAGTGACTAAATTATTAGTCTGAGTGGAGCAAAGAAAGCACAAGAAAGCCTGATTTGCCTGATTTAATCGACATTTAATCGATAATAATCGTAATCTTGCTTGAATTTAATGCTCGTCCAGACTACTACGTTAATAGCTGACTTTTGATTACAAAATCCATGCTAATAGTAATAATTACGTTAACTCGAGCTTTCAGCCATTTACGGTCGTTTAAAATACTAATTCATTGCAGCATTTTAACAAACAAGAACAGACCAGATTTGCAATGATTTTATTACATTCTTTCCACACTTACAAGACTTATTGTACTCATGTTTCTTATTTAATTCTTCATCTAATCTCCTTTTTGGTTTATCTAGCAGTAAAAATGGCTCATCGACCAATGTCTGGACAATCTCGAAACGAAATGTTAATGGCTGAAAAGGCTGGACGAATGTTGGATAAAGCAACCGATCCAGTTGAGAAGCTGCGATATGCATGCTTAAAACGTGGTGCATCTGGAATTTTGGGATTTGGAAAGTAAGTTTCTCATAAATTAAATATTAACGTATTTGAAATATTAACCTTTTCTCTTTTTTGTTGCAGAATTTTCCGTCGAATGGATAATGATGGAAACAGAACATTAAGTTTAGACGAATTTGCTCAAGGTATTCAAGAATGTGGTGTATATCTAACAAATGATGAGGTTTCACAGCTATATACCAAATTCGACCGAGATGGTAACGGATCATTAGATTACAACGAGTTCTTGCGATCTATCAGGGTTAGTTGAATGCGTCTCTTATGCATGTTTATTAATTTTTTTCACAAAAGCTTTTTTTCTTTGTGAGAAGATTATATTTCGTAGAATAATTTAACAAATTCAAATATTTTTATCTTTTTAATTTATTAGCCCCCCATGAGTCAAAATCGTATATCATTGATTGAAAAAGCATTTGCTAAACTTGACTCTAATGAAGATGGTAATGTAACCATTGAAGATCTTAAACACAAATATAATGTCCGAAGTCACCCTGAATATCAAAATGGATCTTTATCTGAAGAAGAACTCTTGACTACTTTCCTGAATAAATTCGAAGAGAATGGTGCAACTGATGGCATCGTAAGTATTTTATATTTTTAATCAGTCATTTTGATCGTTACCTAATGATATGAATGTTAACTTATTTTATTTCAATTTCATCTTTGTATCTTTAAGGTTACTAAGGAAGAGTTTATTGACTATTATGCTGGAGTAAGTGCATCCATCGATGATGACATGTACTTTGACTTGGTTATGCGACAAGCTTGGCACATTTAAGCGACATTCTCGTTAGTTGAGGACTGCAATTGTTCACGACAGCCAATACATACTAACTCTTTCACTCTTTATGGACTTTGTTCTGATGTTAATGTTCTAAGCCATTTGGAAGTCCACAGACTACTTTCTGACTGCCTACGAAAACTTTAAAACGATTGATATAAATTTTCTTCGTACTTAAAGCTTATGCTATCGTAATGATCATTGATTTTGGCTAATTTGGGAATTCTACATCCAGTTTAATCCAAAATTATTCTTAAATGGATCTAAATAGAAAAACTTCCTTATGTCGCAAATAAATATGATTTGAATTAATATGTCTTTTTTATTTCATTCAAACGAAATCATTTTGTTCAGGTAAAATTATTGAAACTCCGCTACTATGCGATTGTATAATAAAAATTGATAGTTGCGTGCATTCTTATTTGGATAGTTTGTAATGCAATAATGCGACAATTGAAGAGGTTTTCTGTGCATTTAAAAAAGTGATTTGAAGATAAATTTACGATGAATAATCAAAAAAGACTAATCAATCATCATGATGGATAATACAACAGATCTTTTTAGTATTTTGTGGCATATTTTTTAATATTCAAATGAAAAAATCGATAAAAGAATACAATTGTTGAAAAAATAGTAATTTGTGTTTGAAATTTTAATATTTCTTATCAATTCAAATGTTGCGCTTCAATAAGAAAACCAATCTCTTTTTTGTTCAACCACAACAATCAACTTTCATTCAATTTACTGTTATGATTATTTAACTGTGCTTTTAATCTGTTTTCAATTGTTCAAATTTTATAACTTTTTTATCTATTTGTTGAATTAACTAATAATTAATTATCTTTATTATGTTAGATTTGTTTGGTAATGTGTTTGGAAGAAGCAAACGAACTGTTCAAGGATCAAACTCTGATAAAGCTGAAGGCTCAAGTGATGATGTTGATAAAAATATGATTGCTTCTACAGTCAACCCAATATACCCGAGATTCCCTGGTAATTTTAATCCATCGGTGAGTTAAAAAGGTCTTCGAAGTTATTATTGAGCTAATCTCATCATGAATTTTGTTTTGTTTATAGAATGGGCCAGATCTTAAGGCATCAGTACGAACTAAAACAATGGAAAGGCAATTATCATCCAATTACTCTCCAATAGATGGAATACCATTTGTTAATGGGCCTACATTAAAGTCAAGCTATGGTGGGATCAATCAATCCATAAATTTAGACGATTGTTTCCATACAATAGATAAAATCGGAGTTTTCTTGAGTACACCATCTTTATCTAATTGCGATTTATACCTTGAAAAGCAATTTCTAGTGCAATATCAGTGATGCATTACATTTTAATCTCAGTCAATATTTTAATATTTTGAAATATTTATTGATAATGTTAGCCATGTCAATTAGTATTGACCCATATTTATGATTGTTATATATTAAAATTTTATCATCAACTTTTTTTATTTTACGATCTTACAACTGCTCAAATTTTAAACTCAAATATCTGAGGAACACTCAACTCACACGGAAAACCCTCGACAGTTTTTCATGGCTCAACTTGCTCTATCAATCAACACTAATCGTATTCAAATCGGTTCCAGGCATTACGATTAGTTGCCTTGTTAGTCATACCTCAACACCTTCAAAAATCTAAATAAACTACTGTAATGTCAAACCTCTAATAATGTCACTTCGTGGGATTAGCATTTTGGCTATTTTTCAATAATATTTAGGTGGAATAACCTTTCTACGAATCTTATTTTACAGAAAAAAATTATAAAACAATTTTGTAGTTTTAATTAGACAATGAAATAAATTGAATTAAAAAGATAGAGTCCTCTCAACATTTCTTCAATAAAAAAACTGAATTAAACTAAATTGTTTATTTCGTTGCCATGATTCTGTGACAGTTGTGTGACATTATTAGAGATTTGACAGAACTAATTCATTCCATACTAATGACAGTAATAATTGTAACTGTTAACAAATCAAGTCGATAACAACAAAAAGACAGATATTAAGGGCAACAACGTTACAAATATCAAACCAGTCGGATCGCAATTGCAAGAAATTTACAAGAAATGATGATTTAGCTCTTTGTAATTGCATAAAGATTAAGTTTTACCAATTGGTGTATTTGATGATAGTGATTTTAGCTCACGAAATAATGTAAAATGATCTGGTCATTTGAAGTTAACCCATTGAAAAGCTGAATTTCAAATTAATTTTGTAGCAAATTAAAATTACGAACTACTTGGGCCTACCATTTCAGAAGTATCTCACGTGATCTCACCACAGAAAAAGAAGAAGCAATGAGAAAAAAAATTATGATTAACATTCATCATTTCAATCATCGTATGATTACTACTTGAGTTTCAGATTCATTATCTTTTCTCTGACATTCGCATTTTTCCCTCCACTTAACGTTAATTGTTGCGTAGACAATTTTAAATCGGTTGACAACAAATGTTTAGTAGATTAATCATGAAATGAAAAATATTTTAGTAAATTTGCATGAACCTTCTAATTAATGTTGAACTTTTGAGAAGAGAAAATTGAAAATTTTCTAAAAAGCTTCATTTTTTAAAAATTACATTAACTTCAGATGTTGAAACCCGGTTTAACACCGGGATGATCAGAAGATTGTCAAGGTTTTCAATCGCTTTTCCTGATGTATCTCTTCATGAAAGATTGAATACTTGTTACAGGATTGTTAATTTGTATCTTTTCAAACAAATAAATGTTAGCTACAAATGCTTTGTTGAAATTGAAATTTCAGAAACTCATAAATGTCAAATTTGAATCTAATTGTATGCTTACCTCTGAGTGTTAAAAATCAAAATTTTGGGAAATGGGAAGCATATTTGACACAAATGATTAACCATGGCTAAATTTATTTTGAAAGAGTACGGAATTTGCGATCAAGAAATGATGGTTGACCAGAATTTTAATGTTCAAAGTTTTCCTTCATCACTAACATGGGTTTCAAGTGCTTTGGTTTAGTCAAAAATGCTGTTTATCATTCAATTTGTCAGCAAATTATCCCATTACGGACTAATTATTAATAGTTTTGATAATGTTAAATACTCATAGATTTTCCAACTTTTGCTGTTAAATGCAAAATATTTGTTGCTATAATACAATTGAATAAAGATGTTGAGTTAAAGTGATTATTTAGCAATGATACTATCTGCTATCCAATTCAACAGGCAAAATGTTCAGTAATTAAGAATCGCGATTCAAGTAAATTAAAGATGGATAGAGATAATAAGAGTGAGAAAAATGCTGAGTTGACCATCATCAACAGTAAATGATTCAATTAACATCAACTGAACAAGATGATTTGATTGATTGAGATAAGGTCAGAGGAGTATAAAAGGTTGATGTTTGAGGAAAGAAACTTCAGTCTTCTCCTTTTGGAACAATACGATTGGAGAAAAGCAAAATGAAGATTTGTCTTAGTATTTTGGCACTTCTTGTCGTCTCAGCTTGCGCTGTTGAACTCAAGCCCAAACCTTTAGGTAAGTTTCCCATTCATATCAATGTTTTAATTTGTATCTTGACCCATTCTCATCATTTTTTCTGGTTTTTTATTTTCTTCCCATTCTCAGATTACGAGCTTAACAAAAAGTATGTCTACGAATACACTGGAAACGTTCTTACTGGAATCCCATCCAGTTCCAGCCTCTACTCTGGTACTCAATTGAAGGCTAATGTTGCCATTTCCCACTCCAACGACCGAACCGACTTGTACACATTGAAGTTAGACAATGTTACTTTCGCATCACTTATTGATGAGGTTACCGAACCAGCAAAGGCCAACTTTGCTCGTTGGGAAGCTGTTGAACAGAAAAACCAAGAACTCTTGGAACTTACTGTTCAATACCAAGTCAACAAAGAGACCCAGCGATTGGAGTACATTGAGGTTCACCAAATGGATGTTCCTTGGTCACTCAACATCAAGAAAGCCATCATCGAGATGTTCTTGGTCGACATTGCTGGTAAACAGTTGAAGTTGGCTCCTGGTTACGAACACGGTCTTACTAAACACTCTCAAGATGAGGTTCATCATGCTTTTGATGTCTACGAACCAACCCTCAAGGGTGAATGTGAAACCATGTACCAAGTCATCAACGCCTTACCTGAAAACGTCAATGGTTTACCTGGAAGTGAACAATTCTACTGGAAGGTCATCAAGACCCGAAACTACCAAAACTGTACCACCACTCCTCGATTGACCCAACACAACTGGGAACGAAAGGGATGTGTTGAATACTGCAAACAAGCTTTGATTGTTGGTCTCACCAAGATGAACAACTATTACTCAGCTGAGAAGTCTCAATGCAACTGCAATGATATTGAAATCGAGCCTCTTGACCAACAATTGACCAGCACTTACTCCATTGAATGTATGGAAAACCCCTACATTTTGAGCGCTGAAAGCAACGGTAAAGTTACCTTCGACAACCATGGTACTCGATTCGTTACCTACACCAACCAAACCCTTAAATTTGTCCGAATTCATGGTGGTATCATTGATCCAATCAACACCAACTACGCTATTCGAGCTCAAAACTTGACCTTCTCTCTTTACCCATACTTGGGTTCAGTTGCCTATGTTTTCAACCACGAAATCCCAGTCTACAACCTTTTGGTTCCATCAGGATCTCAATCAACTTTACTCGATACTACCGTTGAATTGTTGAACCGAGTTGCTGAAACTGTCATCGAAGGTGATTACAAGAACCAAAAGAAGGTCGCTAGTCTTATGCAGAAGGTTGTTTCCCGATTGGCTCATCTTGACTCAGAGCACATCATGAGAATCTTCAGCGACTACTGTATCGTCCCAGAAGCTAAGCTCTACACCAACACCTTGGAATCAGTCCGAAGACAATTGTTCCTCGATGCTGTTTCTCACGTTGGAACACAAAATGTTTCAATCTGGCTTGAACAAGTTCTCGGCTGGAACTCCAATGGATTATCTCCAATTGAAGTCCGACAAATTGTCGAAACTTTACCCCTCAACGTTTACGCTCCAACCACCCAATTGATTGAGTTATTGGAGAAGAAGATCAATGGTTACTTCCAAGAAGAAGATTGGGATTCCCTCTCTGCTTTTGTCATCGCTTATGGTAAACTCATTGCCAAGGCTTGTCCAAACCCAGAAGTCTACCCTGAATCTGACAACGAAATCACCATCGATGAAAGTCGAGTTCGAGTAAACAACTGGTGGATTCCAGAGGACCAAAAATGCACTGCCCAACAAACCCTCCAATACATCAAGGCTTTGAGCGCAAAACTCATGTCTGCTAAA